TTCTGACGGCCGAAAGTTGTATATATATGTGTGTAGCATAAAGTTTTAAAATGTTTGTGGCTCATATAAGTGAATTTTAAAGAAATACTTGCTAAATGCTTTCACTTTTAAGTGTTTTTCTACGAAATACCTAAATTTTAGTAAAAAAGCATTCAACGTTTTTATTTTAAAAGCACTTCCTGTTGTACTTATGAGCAAAAGTGTTTTCAAGCCATCATTCTTATTATCTTAAAGTTGGATGTGGTTCTCGTTGAAGATGGAATTAGGAAAGGGGAAATTCTCATTTCTGGGTTTATAATCATGCGTTATGGGCCTTTGCAGTTCATTGCAGGCATTAGCTTCTTGAAGATGGATAGAGAAAGCAAAGGATATGATACCTAATAAAGGTGATTTGCCTTGGAAAGTTTGACAATTTGTTAGTTTGGTTATGATTTCTCCAAGATATTTTCCAGTAGGGTCCTTAAATGATTGAAAAGTCATGAAATGGCTTCGTAATTTTGACTATCCCAGCTAAGAGCATCAAATGCAGATTTAAATCTCTAATATGCAAGCCAGATCCAAACCTAACTTCTTATTATCTTTAAATTGGCAGGCGAGGTCTTTTAATTGGGTCCCTAATTAAACAGTTTGCACATTGATGTCAAACTACTCTTCAAATGTGTAGAAAATCGTAATTTGCTTTTTAGCGTGATAGATGACACGTAATTACATGTAAGAAGCTGAACATTTTTCTTTATTACATTGGAATGAATCAAACTCTGAACTTATGATGCATAATCCTAACTCATTGCCCCTACCTTTCCCTCACCACTTGAGCTAACCCCAAGAGTGAGCATTAAGAAGCCAAATATTATTCTTCCAGAAGACATAGCTGCGTCAATATATGTATTGCTTGCCATACAAGTTAAAGAGAAAAGGGTTCGTAACAATCGTGTGTATTTATATATTATATATTTTATTTTATTTATAAATATATGTAGGTTTACAAAAAAATTGATATGATCGATGGCCAGATAATACACTCATCATATATATATTAATTCAATTCAGTCGTACGATTATACTGTGGAAGTACTTTGCATGAGCTGCCCTTCTTCTTTGTTTTCGCAAGCAGCTGGTTCTAACATCTGATGAGGAGGATATAAGGCCTGCAGGTTCATATCACTGTCGCCGCTGACATAGACTACTCGAAAAATGTCGTACTTAATCTCAATCGAGACGCTTTCTAGATAGGGCAGCATTGCTTTTCTTTGGTCGGAATTTAGAATCCATGAGTAACAATAGTGCAGAGACTTCCACACGAAGAGAGAAGCAATTCTTGGCCCGGTTTGGCATTTCAAACAAACACCGGCTGTCACGCCTTGCATCCTTTGAAAACCTGACTTGAACAACGCTAAGCATGCGTAAGAGACGTTGTTTATGTCACCACCGTTGATGAGGGCTGTGCTCAGTGATACAGTGTCACCTCTGCGAAATTTTGCTGCACAAGAACCGTCTCTTGATTCTCCAGCATACGCGTCGAAGAAGGAGTGATCGAGTAAGATAGCCATGTTCGATAAATTCGTTAACATTGAGAGCTGCGTGGGATCATTAAACCTCCAATTAATGGTACTGAATTTCAAAATTCTGATATCTTCGAAATTATATAAAGGGGTAAAGAGGTTCTCTTATTCGTTGGATTTCCAACACTACACGTACATTTTGAGTGTGTTACATGCGCATTTCTTTCTTCATGCGTATGTTAGACTAATTGCACTCTTTAATGTGTGGTGGACATAGAAGCACTTCTATACTAAAGTCCTAGTTTGGAAATACTTTTAAGATGACTAGAAGCATTTTTAGAAAAAAAAAGAGTTTCAAATACTCCCTGCAAGTGCTTCTTGTAGGAAATACTTCAAGTGTTTTTTCAGGATTCGCCTGCATTTTTACTAAACATTAGTCTCAAAAACTTTTTTATAGAAAGCACTTTCAATTATTTTAAAAGTAGTTTCAAACGAGCTATTTGTGTGTAAGATGCAGTCACCACACATGATCCGTTCGAAAGTGAGGATGATGAGTCAAAATTCGCATAACAATTTTTAGCAATTGGATTTATAAATATCTAGCAATTGGATTTGTAAGTTTGAATATTTGATATATCATTGGCTATTGGATTTACTTCAAAATTTATGCTCAGGTTCAACGCTTGACACATCATCTATATACATCGAGCTGAGAAAGTACATATAAAATTATTATAATCTTTATTTCGAAAATTTGGAGGTTTAGAAAGTATAATTTAAGGAAAAGAGCTTAATTTCTGTTTTGAGATTAAACAAAAAACTAAAAATAAAAAGAAAAGAGAGGAGAGAGAGAATATATAAGAACAAGATATAAAGTAATTAACAGGAAATGGACTTACAAGGCTTGCAGTCAATGAATCTTTGTTTTCACATGATCTCTTCAGCCACGCTCCAAACCATATGAACTAATGATGATCAAGGAGAAAAAACAACCCGTTTAATTAAGATCGAATTATCTCGACGAATATAAACAAGTATTTTAAATATAAAATAGGGTAAACAATATCATCTGATATATAAATGTGTACGTACCATATTTCCATGGATGCTCTGCAAGATGGAACTTTGAACACAACCAAGAGACTCAGTGCACACAGAGAATTGCTTGAGAGCATTAAGAAGGTCATCGACGAACACAATTGTTGGCCTGAACACAAACATGCTAATGTCCAAATTTTTACTGTTGAAGGGCACAAAGCACGCCATTTCTAATCTCTCCTCCTCTGCAGCTTATTTTCTGTTTGGTTAGCAAGAAAAAGAAAAGCAGAAAGCTAAGAGATGACTAGAAAGTAGAAAGTTCGACGAGAAAGTGAGAGAAAGTGTGGCGTTATTTATGGAGGTTGTTAGAAAGAAAATGAAACTTGATCAAAGGGGCATCGCAGTCTGTTTCTTTGGTCTTCTTTGGCTTGGTTTGAAACGGAGAAAGGGATGGCTATCGGTAATAATAGTAATAAATAAATAATAAAAAATAAAAGACTTGGAAGTTGGAAGCATAGCAAACTTGGAGTGGTTGTTGGTCTTGTGCATGCTTTGACTCTTCCTAGATGTGTTGACACTGTTGTAGATGTTGAAATTTTGCGTTCCAAATTTAACATACATGATAGCAGAAACGATAGGGGATACATGTATCATCCATGATTCTATATTGTTTTAAAGCTTTTGGATGTACATTAAAGTGACTGAAAACGCTTTTAGTGAAAATATTTTTAGAACCAATCCTTAGTAAAAATGCAAGTAGATTTTGAAAAAGCACTTAAAGTGCTGCCTGAAAGAAGCACATAACTGGTGCTTTTTACAGAAAACACTTTAAGTGATTTTGAAATCAAAAAATATTTTATCTAAAAGCACTTTCAGTCATTTTAAAAATATATCCAAACAAGCCCTTAGTACTAGAAGTGCTTTCAAGTAATAAAGAAAACATTATCGACAATGTTTGAAAAAATAAATTTCACTTTTCTGAGTTATAAAAACATAGGAACCGTGGCAAAAATTAGGCATCTAATGGTGGTACTTACCAGTATTTTGGCGACCAATGATATATTTTTTTTAATAAACCATATTATCTACATTAAGGGGTGAAGAAATGAGCTAAGTCTTACAATGGGCTAATTATAAAAATATAATTCAAATTCATTTTTTGTAAGAATCGAACCTAAGATCTCTAACTTTCAAGTGAAGCAAAAAATCATTAGACTGTAATACTAAGTGGAATTGACCAATAATATTTACAAGAGCCCTTAACAAGCTCTTACCAACGTTAACAAGACACGATAACTACAAATAGTATCAAATTTATTATAAATACATATCGTTCTCACGTCTCTGTTAAGTTATCAGTCGAATCTAAAACTGTCTTCGTTCTAATAAAGTGTCAATGGATCATTTGCGGATTCGCAGCACCGTTAAGAAGACATGCGTGGAGACATATGAAGCTTGTTACTATTAAATAGTATTGAGAAAATAATTGGTAATTGGTAATTTGGTATTGGTGGGTCAACAAATTGTAGGATCTTGTTGTTGGAAGAAGTAGTGAGCTGTTTCTGTCCTTATTGACACAATTCACAAGTGGCACGTCTTCATCGGCCTTACAAAATGAGTGACGGTGGCAGTCAGAAAGTCCGGTGGTCCTTCCTTCCCCAAAGAGAAAAACCGTCATCGATGAAAATTTTGATTAGTTTGAGTTTGACCGGTCAATTAGAAGATTTAATTTGAAATCATCACAACCACCCACCATTTATAAACTTGAGTAAAAAGGAGATACCATTTGCCAAGGACAAGTCTCTTGAACAGTTACTATTCGCTTGAAGGAATTAAATTGCCTATTGTCAAGACGAGTTTTTATACACTTGAAGTGTTCTTAAGTTATTTCCAATCGAAATGGTTAAATATAACATTGTCCAAAACTAAAATTTTGTAAAAGAAATTATTTTTAAATGAACAGTGTCATGTCATGTTCATATATCATTTCTAACCGAATAGAATAAACATAGCCCATCAATAATTTATTGGTTTTAAGCTTATACATTACATTTATTTACTAATTTAATTAAACTACCATATGATGTTTTCAAATCTGACCGTTGAATTTGAATTAATTATTACAACTGAGGAGTTGAACCCTAAAAAAGAGCTAAGAAGGGAGCTACATTTGGCTAGTCTGATGCCCTTTTGACCAAATAATGGCCTGATGAGCTTCATAACATGATAGTTCAGCCATCGGTTCGAAATAATTTTGGACAAATTAGATCATTTTTTGGCTTTTGGACTTTTAATCCTCTCCATTGGAGATGACCTTACCGTCCAGATTCCTGAAAGTGCCATGCTTCTACTACTGTTGCACACTCAATCCACAGCTCCAGCTATGAGGAAACGAATCGCATTCGCATTGCAACAACACCATTTGGCTCAAGTTTCGAAACCTAAACCAACGAAAAGAACTTCCATGCAACGAAATGTGATTGTAACAATATCTCAAGTCAATTACACAGTCAAGTAGAAAAAGTTAAAACGCGTGGCAATGCAAACTTGTCTTGGATTACCGCATTCTAACACCCAGTAGTAGTAGCTAAATTTCTCTCTACCCAGAATGCGTAATCATTCAATATTAAATGATTATTGAAATAGTTAATGATCAAATGCTGTAACATCACACTGTATTAACGTAAATGTAGGCTACAAGTTTGGTGAGCGTAAAGTTTCCGTCTGCCGTCGAAGTGAAGTGGGTTTTGGTGAACAAACTGTTCTAAAATCCTTGTAAAATTATTCTACCTCTTCAGGGACACTGGTTGATACAACCAACAAGTATGGACTTCAAGAATATGGCATGCATCTGCTTTCCTCCCATCAACATGGGGATGGAAACTGTTATATGGTATATTCATCTTCATGTACAACAGCATTAACCTGCACGAGTGAGTAGAGATAAAAAAGGGGATTGGGTTACTTTCATCTGCCCACCTAATTGAGTTCTCATTAATCTTTGCATTTCAAATACGTACTTGCATTAATACCAAAATTCACCTAATGTTTCACGGCGCACCTTTCATAGGTCTACGGGCACTCTCAAACCATCATGCGCAAGCTGCACTTGAATGCCTTCCCTATATGCAAACAACAGAAAAGTTGAAAGCGTAAGTTTCTTTAAGTAACGATATTTCTTACCTGTACAGAAAGTGAATTGCAAAAAGTAGTTCCATAACCTCTCAGACCATTCCATAAGAAACTTATTGTCTACGTGGTGATCAAACTGATGATTCATTCCAATTAAAAGGGCTTTTTTGGGACAAATCCTCTTCACAGCTTCAAGAGTCTGCAAACATTATATAGTCGCTGCCATGAACAATTGGCTATAAGAAATGCAGATGTTTTTTTTAGTGTATCAGACCAACCTGTGGGAGGCAAAGGTGAACATTATGGGATCCAGTCTGCAATAAAACAAAAGGCAAAGCAGATTATGAAGAATATGCCTTAATAATAACAGGAAACGCAAGATGAGCGAACAAACTTTCTGCTGACCTTGTATAGTGTGTCCAAGATAAGAAGATCCAACTGTCCAGCTCCATCTTTCGAAATAACTGCAAGTTTCATATGTATGGTTTTTCCAAATAAAAGGTAAGAAACACAGAGAATGTTTTGTAAATGACACAGCAGATCAAGATTTACAACAAGTGACAAAAACAATTATGAAGCCAGTAAGGGCATGTTCAAAGGATCAAATGTTTTGGGAAGGCGTTTTATGCCAAGAACTAATTCTCCCTACTAAAGGTGAGAAAGTTTCTACGAAATGTTTCTCCGAAATGTTTCTCCGTAAGGAACAATCCCCATAGCCAAGCAACCGATTCACTTAAGAAGTCATTTTTCTTATAAAAGGTGACAGACTCATCCTTATCACTGCATAAATTAATCCAAATTTATTGACAAAGAATAAACTAAAATGGAAATGATAAAATGTCTCAGAGTACTTATACTCTCCTGAGTAAAGGGTTTTCCCAATGCTTTGTTGGCAGATTAAAGAGTAGGAAGGTCAATACGAACTCAGCTATAAGGTGTTCTAAGAAGGGAATCCTAAAGATCTTATCTTCAAATACTCTAACATAGTTTATATTTCCCTTAATCACGATTGAGCCCCATCATTTGGGAAATTTTGTCTAACAATAAAATTCCCTAACTATTAATCTATTCAGAAAATAACACTAAAATATTTACAAAATGCTCTGACAGTATAAGAAATACTCACCATGATCTGTGCTCTGACACTAAAATGTTTACCAAGGAACTAAGCAATACTCACCATGTTCCGTGCTTGCAGGAAAGCGTGAAACGTCAGATATATACGCTATTCTACATCTTTCACCAAATAGATAACCCAAACAAATATAATCCTCCCCATGCATCACCTAATATGAGGAATAGCAGTAAGAAACTTCAAGAATAACAAGAAATAGGATTTTCATGTCATGACTGAGAAAGGTTTGATGAGAGTAACTGGCAAAGGAACAAATTGTAGGTCTGACACAAGAAACGGTGTTTCAATACTCTCCTCAATTATCCTCCAGTCAAGTTGTGCTACTCGTCTCACTTCTTGACCTTCAACAAGTTTTTTCTTAATCAGGTAAGGAAATTTCACTGCAACGCTATTCAAAGGTAAAACAGACACAATAAGTTTCATTTGTAAATAGAATTTACACATAAATGGAAAGACAAAAATATCAGATATAATGGCGAGAGTAATTTCTTTTACATATTCCTCAGTCCACAGTTACATTTTTTTTTATATGAATCCTAGATTTTAAGTCTATAATGTAATCAGAGCAGACCAAGGATTTATTTCCATCAAAAGAGATGGAGCAACAAAATACCATAAAGAACATCAAAGAATCATACGGTCATAAGCATTGCACTACTTGCAACCGTTTCCAGATTAAGCAACAAGCAAAACTTAGCTTTTGAACCAAGCAGTTTAGCAGATAAGTATCCAAGTTCACCCAAAATATTGTACCTCTCCATTGCATAATGACTTAGGTAGATGGGAGTAGGATCAATGTCATTTGTGGGACTATGTGGTTGAATGGCACGTATATCATCCAGACCAAGAACTGCATCAGCATGTTCATGAGTCAAAATAATCTGCAGTTGGTGAAAAATTAGTTCTTAAACTCCCTGTATTTACAAGCTTTCAAATACCCAACAATAAAAACTCGGACATAACAGTAATCGTATTATCTATGTTATTACTGAAGAAACCTCTATTACTATGCTGAATGTACATGCAATGCCCGATATACTCCGGCCACAAATGGTAATTACACACTAACCCAATCTTCAGTTCAACTGCCCAGTGTTTTAACATGTTTACTTTTTGATCTCTTTCAAATACCCGCTCCTCTCTTCGACACTCCTATCACTTTCTCATTCCATCCCCAACTCTTACCACGTTTCATGCGCATATGATTGCAGGGACCTTCTAGTGCACAAAAATTCATTGTATACATACAAAACTGCAATTACAATCTATGAACATAACCAACATCCACAACTTACTTCAAATAACTCGCCATTTTCACTTGATAAATTTTTTCTGTCTTCCAAAGACAAGTTACAGTCACATTGGGGGAATTCTATCAACTTTCAAATAGTTTAGATTAAAAGCACCCCTAACCTCTGTAAGCTCCCCACTTCGAGATGGTTCCGCACACTCATACCATGAAACTACCTCTTCCTAATCTGGCACCCTACTGAAGTTTTAGCAAATAATTCATAGAAAGCAAGCATCCCACCATCATATCGCACCACAATGCTTTCCAAACAAAACCAATTTCTTTTCTTTCTTGCTTTTCGGAATCCCTCAGTGTGAAAAGTAAATGTACATCGCGTAAATAAATTTGAACTTTTTAAAAGTATCCAAGTCAAAGCTAAACATGCATTCCTCTAAACCATTGATGCTAATCGGCCAAATGTTCCGAAGTATTGAGAGCGCTAAACCAGTCACAAGTTAGTTACAACAGTAAATAGTTAATTGTGGTATTTGTGTAATTAGGTGTAGAAGATAAGGGTACTAATGTAATGAGCCTCTATGGCTATATATATTCTTGTGTACCGTCAATTAAGTTTAATCAATGAAAATATCCCTTTTAACATTTTCTACATGGTTTCATCGCCAAATACCTCCCGGCATTCCTCGATCCTCCATTTCTTCCGCTCAGTTTCTCTTATTTCTGTTCAATTTGATCGAAGTTCTTCATTGATTTGGTATTCTGATCACTGTTGATCGGTAATGGCGTCTTTGAGTCAGTGATATCTAGATTTTCTTCTTCTCACCGCTTTCATTTCTCGATCGATTTCTCGCTCGATTTCTTGATCGATTTTGTGCTCTTTGTCTTTGATCGATTGCTTGATCGATCTCTCCCTCGATTTCTTGATCGATTTCTCTTTTCTCGAATCTCGAATCTTGCTTTTGTATATCATGGCTTCCCCCTCTCACTCTTCGTCTCCGATTAACTCACCGCCATTACCAAACCCTAATCTTTCTGCAAATTCTCAACCTCAGAACTCGTATGTCTCTTACGATTCAAAATATTGGTAGCATGGTGCCAATCAAACTCAAATGCACCAATTATCTCCCATGGCGTGCGTTATTTGCTCCGATTTTGCGCCGGCACAAACTTCTTGGTCTCATCGACGATACTGACCCATGTCCGACTCCACTTCTTCCTGATCGATCCTTGAATCCAGCATTTGGGCAGTGGTTTGAAAAAGATCAAAATCTCTTGATCTGGCTCAACTCGACCTTATCCAAAGATCTCATTCCCTTCACAGTAGGTGTTTCCACATCTCGAGAGCTTTGGCAGAAGCTTGAACAACGTTTTGGTGGAGTTTCTGAAGCTCATGTCCACCAACTTCGCTCTCGTCTTCGATCAATTCAAAAAGGCTCTCAATCGATCTCGGAATATCTACAACAAATCAAGGAAATTTTAGATTCTCTCAATGCTGCTGGCGCAACTATATCTGATCGTGATCTAATTGCTGCACCACTTCACGGTATTCCTGATGAATTTGAGTCCTTTATTGACTCCATCATGCTGCGTTTGTCTTCTACATCTCTTGATGAATTGCATGGTTAGTTGCTGACAAAAGAGATTTCCATGGCTCGTCACAAGCAGACTCTGTCCACCGCTGCTACTGAGCCCTTTCAGGCATTCTCTGTCCAATCTCAGGCACCTTTACTGCCAACGCCTTCTCCACATGCCTTTGCTACATATAGTCAACCTCTTCAATCTTCTTTCCGTTACAATTCTAATCAAGGCAGAAACAATCGCAATGGTTCCAGAGGCAATCGCAATATCCGTACTAATCGTGGACACTACATTGGTACTTATCGTGAAGGTCGATCTCGTGCCTCTTATCTAGGCTCCCGGTCTACCAACCAAGGCTCTTCATCTACTCACAAGAACACATGTCAAATTTGTGGCTCCACCAGCCACGAAGCCATTGACTGTTTTGACAGGATGAATCCTGAGATTTTTGGACGGGTGCCACCAGCCAAACTTGCAGCTCTTTGTGCTCACTACTCGTCCAAACCATCCCTATCTTGGCTGTTAGACTCTGGCGCCACATCACATATCACAAATGACATTGCCAATCTCTCAGTCGCCTCTCCCTACACTGGTGAAGACAAAGTCTATATAGGAGATGGTAAATGTCTGTCTATTCACAATATTGGTACCTCTTCTTTAAATACATCTCATACTTCTTTTAAGTTGAGTAATGTATTACATGTACCTGCTATGAAACACAACTTATTATCTGCCTACCAATTTTTAAAAGATAATAATTGTGCCTTGACTCTTGACCCTAATGGATTCACCATAAAGGATCGTGTTTCGGGGAAGACGCTTTTGTAGGGACAAGTTAAAGATGGTTTCTATCATTTTTAAGGCTCTAGTCATCCCACTTCTTCATCACCCTCGACTTTCACAAGTGTCAATGCTCCTGTACAGATTTGGCATCGAAGATTGGGTCATCCATCTCCTTCTATCTTTCGCAAGGTTCTTTCAGGCAATAAGCTTGTGGTGAAAGGCAGGACTACTGGTGATCTTTTCTAGTCAGATTGTGCTTTAGCTAAAAGTCACAAGCTTCTTTTTGGCTCTGCTAGTTTTACAACTACTCAAAGCCTCCAATTGTTACACTGTGATCTTTGGGGTCCTGCCTCCATCACTTCACCTAGTGGTTTTAAGTACTACTTGTTGCTAGTAGATGATTACAGTAGATATAGTTGGTTATTTCTATTAAAGGCTAAATCTGATGCTTATTCTACTTTCGTTGTATTCAAACAATATGTGGAAAATCTACTTGGAAATAAAATCAAGGTTGTGCATTCAGATTCCGGGGGTTAATTCATTGGTGCTATGTTTCGGTCTTTCTTCATACTCATGGCATTGTTCATCAATTAACATGTCCTCACACCCCTGAACAAAATGGTTGTGCTGAACAAAAGAACTGACACATTGTGGAAATTGCCAAAACATTACTTGTTGCTTCTAATATTCCACATCTTTATTGGGTGGAAGCTTTCTCCACGGCTGTGTACCTTATTAACAGATTACCAATCTCTGGACTCTCTAAATCTCCTTGGGAATCGCTATTTTTCAAGCCACCAGATTACTCCCGACTTAAAGTCTTTGGCTGTAGATGTTTCCCGTGGCTCAAACCTTATACTCATTCCAAGTTGGACGCTAAAAGCAAAAGCTGTGTTTTTCTGGGATACAATTTACAACATAAGGGTTATTGATGCCTTGACCTAGTCACTAGTCGTATCTACATTTCTCGACATGTACAGTTTGATGAATCAACATATCCTTTTCAGTCTCCTCCCCACCAGTCCAGTTATCTCTTCAGAATCTGTTTCAGCTCCCATGGATCTGCAGTTCTCCGTTCCTAATAGAATTGGTGTTCCTTCTGGATCTTCAGTTCTAGATTTGAGATCCAACTCTGATTATTCTTCTTCAGGTTCACACATTGGTCATTCTCAAGGTCCCATTCCTACAAATACTGCATCACATACAGAATCTCCGCATGCCGCATCACTCACTTCCAATGCACCAATTATTTCCCTACCCCCTACCAATACTCACCCTATGATCACTCGCTCTAAAGCTGGTATCTTCAAGCCCAAAGTATATGCAGCTACCAAACATCCTCTTCCATCTGATATTGGCTTTGTCCCAAATACATATTTGCAAGCATCTAAACATGCTCGCTAGAGATCTGCCATGCAAGATGAGTTCAAGGCCTTACAATCAACAGGAACTTGGACACTTGTTCCTCCATCTTCCTCCTACAATGTTGTTGGCTGCAAGTGGGTTTTCCGAATAAAGAAGAAACCTAATGGTACTGTCGAGAGATTTAAAGCTCGTCTGGTTACAAAGGGGTATCATCAGCAAGAAGGAATTGATTTTCAAGAAACCTTCAATCCTGTGGCTAAACTAGTCACAATTAGAGTCATTTTGTCACTTGTTGTGCAGTTCAATTGGTTTTTAAATCAATTAGACATAAGTAATGCCTTTCTTCATGGTGATTTAAAGGAAGATGTATACATGTAGCAGCCTCCAGGTTTCACTGATCTCAGCATGCCACATCATGTCTGCAAATTACGGAAATCCCTTTATGGTCTCAAACAAGCACCTCGAGCTTGGTTTGACAAACTGTTTCAAGCTCTTCTTCAGCTTGGTTTTAAGCAATCTTCCTCAGATGTTTCCTTATTTGTTCTTCACAGTACAACTCCTGTCATGGTACTTGTTTATGTCGATGACATATCAGTCACTGGACCTGACTCTTCCCTATGCAATCTATTCATTCAAAAACTCAATGCTATTTTTCTAGTCAAGGATTTGGGTCCATTGCACTACTTCCTGGGATTAGAGGTTCAACGATCATCCACAGGTCTCTTCCTTCATCAAACCAAGTATTTACTGGATCTTCTCAGAAAAACCAATATGGATGGTGCAAAGCCTTGCTGCACTCCACTTGGCTCTAATAAATTGGATCACACTAGTCCTCTTTTGTCCAATCCAATTGAGTACGGATCTATTGTAGGTGGTTTACAGTATTTGACATGGACGCGTCCCGATATTTCTTTTGCTGTGAATCAAATCTGTCAGTTCATGCATGCTTCTTGAGACCAACACATGCAAGCCGCAAAACGAGTTCTTCGTTATCTCAAGGGTACTGTGTTTGAAGGACTATGGTTCAAAAAGGGCGCAACTAATCTCACAGCCTTCTTAGATGCAGACTGAGCTGGCTGTCGTTTTGATAGACGTTCCACTAGTGGTTACAATGTCGTTCTGGGATCTAACCTTATCAATTGGAGTGCCAAGAAACAAGCTACTGTGGCATGATCATCAACGGAAGCAGAATACCGTTCTCTTGCACACACTGCCGCTAAACTGACTTGGATATGCAAAATCTTCCGTGACATTGGTTTCCCTTTCTCTCAGGTTCCTACCCTCTGGTGTGACAATATTTCAGCAATCTCCCTTGCTTCTAATTCGGTATTCCATGCCAGAACCAAACATGTGGAGATTGACTATCATTATATTCGAGAGTTGGTCTTGGCTAATCTCATCAAGGTTAACTTTGTTTGTAGTAAGGATCAATTAGCCAACATTCACACAAAATCTCTTTCCAAAAGTCGATTTCAGTATCTTAAATCCAAGCTTCCTCTTGGTTCCTCAGTTGATCCCAAGCTCAGCTTGCGAGGGTGTATTGAGAGAGCTAAACCAGTCACAAGTTAGTTACAACAATAAATAGTTAATTGTGGTATTTGTGTAATTAGGTGTAGAAGATAAGGGTACTGATGTAATGAGCCTCTCTGGCTATATATATTCTTGTGTACTGTCTAGGGATGGGTTCGGTTTAAATCGGTTCGATTTTTTACCAAAACCGAAACCAAACCGAAATTCGATTCGGTTCGGTTCATTTTTTTTTCGGTTTGTTTTTTCCGGATCGATTTCGGTTTTTTTTTTTTTTGTTTTTTTTTCAAAAAATGAAAAACATTGAAATTTTAAATTTTAACATATCCAACACAATCATAACATAAGCATTCTAACTAGAATCAAAGACAATGAAAATAAACATTTAAAGTTGAACTAAAATCATCAATCAAGTCTTCCAAAGTCCAAACTAACAACCTCACAACACAAAAATCGTACAAATGACTTAGAAAAATTAAATTGTATGATGTTGTTCAAAGATCAAGGTTGTTTGCTTGTAACTGCATGTTGACAACTTGATTAGTAAACGTAATGCGTGGGTGAATTTATTTAGTGTGTGTTGGATTATTTTCCATAACAAATTACCCAAGTAATCTACCCGAAATAAATGTTTATGGATTCTGTTACATGTTATGTTATATGAGAGTAGATTTGGAAAAGAAAGCTAGGACAGAAGTAGACAGTGATATGGAGATGGATGTAGGTACTTTAGGAGGAGGTTTGGTTCCAGAACCTTATATGGGGATAAATAATAGGTTAGGGTTTAGAGTTTTTATAGGCATTTTTTAAATATTTCGAGCTTAAAGTTTGACAACACATTGGGTTTAGCATATTTTAACTTACAAATTGGGTTTAGAAAATAATACCCAAAACAAATAATTAAATAAATTTTTAATTTAATTAATTTGGTTCGATTCGGTTTGGTTCGATTTTTAGATCATTAAAATCGAACCGAACCAAAAGAATTCGGTTCAATTTGGTTTTTTCAATTCGATTCGGTTTTTTCGATTTGATTTTCGGTTTTTTTCGATTTTTAGTTTTTTGAACCCACCATAGTACTGTCAATTAAGTTTAATTAATGAAAATATCCCTTTTTAACATTTTCTACACGAAGATCATAACTAGTCATACAAAAATGTGCACAAACAAAACTCACAGAATCAACTCTCGGAATCTTATAGCGAGTGAACCATCGAAGCACTTGCTCCCGGAAAGTCTTTCCGACATCGATCAATATGTAGCTGTGGTTACCATCGCTTCCGCAACGATCAATCAAAAGCGACGTATTGCACCTGCAAACACAAATCGTTCAAAAGCTGATTTTTTTTTTCCCACTTTCCTTCACTTTCTCGGGATACAAACAACCACAAAAAGGCAGATCTAAATCTCAAATTTACCGGTAATTAGGGTTTTGGTCCGGGGGGATGGAGAGCGCCTGAGCGCAGACGTGGCAGGGATCGGAGGCCTGGATCAGGCACATTGCGTTGGGAACGGAGCCGGAGCACCCGGTTCCGAGAAAGATCAGCGCCGATCGACCGCCGTCTTGGTTCCCGGCCGCCATTGGGGTCTCCTACACGGAAGACAAGGGTTTCGGTCTTTGGGGGCGAGGGAGGGAGAGAGAGGAAGAGCGAGAGAACTGGCGAAGAGGGAATGAAGAAATGAATCCGGGAATATTTGGGGCGACAAGGCCCGGGAAATGTTAACGGTTACGTAGAGTGGGTATTTGTCTACGTGGCCGAGATCTATTGGTTCCTGTTGTTTCCAAGGGTGGTGGGTTGGAGAAATATGAATGGCAAAATGCGAGTTCGATACCACGTTATAATGTCGGCGCATTAAAAAATTAACCTTTTCTTTTCTGTTACTGTTGAAGAGCACCATGAGATTTTAATCTAGATACTGCCATAAAAAAAATGATAAATTAATGTGATAAAGAGAAATTTTTTATATTAAATTTCAACAAACTAAGAAAGTCACAACTAAAATCGATTTTTATATTGTAATTAAAATTATTTTGAGTAAACTGTCATTTAACCCCCTAAACTATCACGTCAGTGTCAATTTCCCCCCTGAACTATTTTTTCAGCCAATTGACCCCCTAAACTATGTTAAAGTGGCCAATTGACCCCCTACCGTTAAGTATCTTTAACTTCATCCAATTTTCTGTTAGAAAGTGTCATGTGCTTGGCACATGACCACCTTTTTACATTTTATGTCTAAATCTTACAAAGAAAACATATAAAACAAATATTAAAAAAAAAAACATACAAACCCTAAACTTAATCATTCAAAATAATAGAAAAAGTAAGGCTTTTTATATTAACCCCACAAAATGTTGAATGCACCCCATATTAAAATTTAATATTAAATGACTTATTTACTCTACTATGCAATGTCAATTTTGACCTTATTAGGTTTTTTAAAAACTAAAATTTTATAAATACACCCCAAATCACTTTTAGTGTATTATTTATCTTCTCAACTATCAAAACACTCACATCCTCCATTGTTGAACAAAACCCTAACCAATGAAACTACAAACATGTTGACTGAGAAAAATTGTTTTTGACGAATGAAACGCGAAATCGATGTTTCTGAAGCTTCACATGAGGTAAGACTTCACATTTTTCATTGTTTTAGTGATTTCGATGACATCGATAATTATTTAATCTTGTGTTTGCTACATTATTTTTCAATATGAACCCTAAAAGATGAATATGAATATGAATATAGAAGTTTGAATAATGCAGCAAATGCAAGATTAAATCATTATCGATGTCATCGAAATCACTAAAACAATGAAAAATGTGAAGTCTTACCTCATGTGAAGCTTCAGAAACATCGATTTCGCGTTTCATTCGTCAAAAACAATTTTTCTCAGTCAACATGTTTGTAGTTTCATTGGTTAGGGTTTTGTTCAACAATGGAGGATGTGAGTGTTTTGATAGTTGAGAAGATAAATAATACACTAAAAGTGATTTGGGGTGTATTTATAAAATTTTAGTTTTTAAAAAACCTAATAAGGTCAAAATTGACATTGCATAGTAGAGTAAATAAGTCATTTAATATTAAATTTTAATATGGGGTGCATTCAACATTTTGTGGGGTTAATATAAAAAGCCTTACTTTTTCTATTATTTTGAATGATTAAGTTTAGGGTTTGTATGTTTTTTTTTTTAATATTTGTTTTATATGTTTTCTTTGTAAAGATTTAGACATAAAATGTAAAAAGATGGTCATGTGCCAAGCACATGACACTTTCTAACAGAAAATTGGATGGAGTTAAAGATACTTAACGGTAGGGGGTCAATTGGCCACTTTAACATAGTTTAGGGGGTCAATTGGCCAAAAAAATAGTTCATGAGGGAAATTGACACTGACGTGATAGTTTAGGGGGTTAAATGACAGTTTACTCAATTATTTTTATATGTATGGTTTAAAGATCCTCGAATGTCACTTCTATAACTCAGTCATCCTCTTTTTTTTTTTTTTTTTTTTTAATACTTTAGAAAACAGGAATAGTGGGTTGTAAAAACTTTTAGGGCGGTTTGATGAGTCGGATAAAATAGATTGTGTACTTGTAATTCATGTCGAGCAACGAGTTACAAAACCCTTGTTACCTTGGATTTGAAATCTCAAATAGTATCTCATCCGTAATGTTGTTTACTCACATCAAATGGTAATAAAGATTCAAATCTATTTTAATTGATCATATCGCATCCTAATTTGCCCGCTAAATATGCCTTTAAGGGGAAATGTAAAACGATATGGGCTCAAAAGAATATGGATATTGCTGTGGACGGGCCTGGGTTGAGAGTGAGACAATAGCCCACCATCGATACGCCGTCGTCCCGCCCACCCACGCGGCTTTTCCTCCTCCTGCACAATAAACACCCAAACGAAAACACCATTTCTACTCATTAATCTCGAATTGTTTCCACTCATATTTTCTTCACATTTCAGAGCTTCTGCAGCAACTGCAATGCTCTCTGGTCGTAGCCGTTGCGTTAGAACTGTTGGAACTCGCGTCGGACCTCATAACTCTACTACCGGAAAGGCGCTTGCCTGTGAGCCCACTAGCCATTTTCCTGGGCACCCATTGATCTTCGCCGAGCTCGCTGCATTTTTCTCATCGTTTTCCTCGAGAAACTCCGACCCAGGTTCTGGTTTTAGCTCTGAATTCAAAGCTCGTTCTTTTGATATTGATGGTTTGGGAGATTCAAGTAATGGGTATGATAGAGCTAGGAAAATGGGTTCTGAAAATTTCGGGGATTTGAGTCTCTTAGGGAGTAGGAAGAATGGTTGCGATAATGATCAGAGCAAAAAGTTTGGTATTTTTTATGACATTGAAGGGTCTGATGGTGGAGAAGAAGAGAGTAGCGGTGATGAGGATGATGACGGTGGTGGTGGTGGTGATGGGGATTTAACGGTGTTGGATTCGTCGAATCGGGTTCACGAAAAAGGCGAAAACTTTAGGAGAGTTGATGGATATGAAGAGGAATTCAGGCATCCATTGGTGAGAGAGGTTTGTAGGTTAATTGAGTTTAGGTCAGGTTGGAGCCCTAAGCTTGAAGGGGAATTAAAGAACTTGTTAAGAAGCTTGAAGCCGAGGCAAGTTTGCGCCGTGTTGAAGTCTCAGAGTGATGAGAGAGTTGCTTTGAAGTTTTTCTATTGGGCTGATAGGCAGTGGAGGTATAAGCATCGCCCAGTTGTGTACTATGCAATGCTTGAGGTGTTAAGCAAGACTAAGTTGTGTCAAGGTGCTAAGAGGGTTCTCCGTCTTATGGCACGTAGAGGAATTGAGCGTAGCCCTGAAGCTTTTGGTTGTGTGATGGTGTCTTATAGCAGGGCGGGCAAGTTGAGGCATGCCCTGCGTGTGCTGACATTGATGCAGAAGGCCGGAGTTGAGCTTAATGTGTCAATGTGCAACACTGCAATTCATGTTTTGGTGATGGGGAATAAGTTGGAGAAGGCTTTGAGGGTGTTGGAAAGGATGCAACTTGTTGGAATTACACCAGATGTTGTCACCTATAATTGCTTGATAAAGGGGTATTGTGATGTGCATCGCGTCCAGGATGCATTGGAGCTGATTGATGAAATGCCGAAAAGAGGGTGCGTGCCGGATAAAGTTAGTTACTATACTGTGATGGGTTTCCTCTGTAAGGAGAATAGGGTCGAAGAAGTGAGGGGATTGATGGAGAAGATGATTAAGGACAGTGGATTGTTACCGGACCAGGTCACTTATAATAATCTTGTCCATGTGCTTTCTAAGCACGGTTATGGAGATGAGGCTCTTGAGTTTTTAAGGGAAGCTGAAGAGAGGGGACTTAGGTTTGATAAGGTTGGGTATAGTGCAATAGTTCATTCATTCTGTAAGGACGGTAGGATTGATAAGGCAAAAGAAATTGTGAATGAAATGTTCTCAAAAGGTTGCACTCCGGATGTTGTAACATACACTGCTGTTCTTGATGGGTATTGCCGGCTTGGGAAGGTGGATCAAGCTAAAAAGATGCTTCAACACATGTACAAGCATGGTTGCAGGCCTAATACCGTATCATATACAGCCTTATTAAACGGGCTTTGTCGTAGTCAAAACTCATTAGAGGCAAGAGAGATGATGAAAGTGAGTGAGGAAGAATGGTGGACTCCGAATGCCATCACTTATAGTGTTGTGATGCATGGGTTCCGTAGGGAAGGGAAATTAGTTGAGGCTTGTGATATCGTCAGAGAGATGGTTAATATGGGTTTTTTCCCAAACCCAGTTGAAATTAATTTACTAATTCAGTCTCTTTGCCGAGAAGGGAAGATAACTGAGGCTAAACGTTTCATGGAGGAGTGTCTAAGTAAGGGATGTGCAGTTAATGTTATAAATTTTACAACTGTGATTCATGGATATTGTCAAAAGGATGACTTGGACGCTGCTTTGTCATTGCTTGATGACATGTATCTGAGCAACAAACACCCAGACACGGTCACTTATACAACAGTGATCCATGCGTTGGGAAAGAATGGTCGAATACAAGAGGCGACCGAACTTATGAAGAAGATGCTGGGTAAAGGGTTGGATCCGACTCCAGTAACATACAGGACAGTCATCCACTGGTATTGTCAAATGGGTAAGGTTGACGAGTTATTACAATTATTGGAGAAGATGTTCTTAAGACAAAATTGCAAAACAGCATATAATCAAGTGATTGAGAAGCTTTGTAGTTTTGGGAACCTTGAGGAGGCTGATAAACTATTAGGTAAGGTGTTGAGAACAGCTTCTAGAGTCGATGCTAAGACGTGCCATTCTCTTATGGGTGGTTACTTAAGAAAAGGGGATCCTCTGTCAGCATACAAAGTGGCTTGTCGAATGTTCAACCGGAATCTTATTCCTGATTTAAAGTTATGTGAGAAGGTGACCAAGAGACTGATGTTAGATGGAAACTCCAAAGAGGCAGACAACCTAATGTTACGTTTTGTTGAGCGTGGATGCATATCAAACCAATATCAGGAACATTTGCAAAGCTAAAGAGAACCGTTCTGAGATCAGACTGCAAGAAGTATCGTTTCTCTCCATACAGCATCATCTGCTGCTGATGTTCTCTCATGAAGGGCTTTAGTATGGTAGGGCCTTCTTATCTTTATTGGTTTCTCAATCGTATAATGTCTCCGTATTTTCCTAGCTTTCTTCTCTATCTGAAGAATGTGAACTTATCTTGTATATTCATGAAATGTAATTGAGTATGGCCTTGGATAGGGAAGTCGTTTACTTGACCCCAGTGAACTAGTCAAGAGAGGCGTATGCACTAACCCTAGAGCCTCTGTGTCCCTTATGCAATTGCAGTAAGAAAACTCGCAAGAGTGGAGCTACATGTATCTTCCACAGCTGATGCTTTCAGAGACGTGCTTTTGTGAGCTTTCGGTGAATGGCTTCGTTTGAGTGTTTAATTTACTCTGAATAACTTCGAGCACCTAGCAAATAGAAACTACAAGTGTAACAGGTGCAGGCCTAGTCTTTTAAACGCGTGCTTGAATTATTATTGCGCCAAAATGTGTGGTACTTCAATGTTTGGAAACAAAGGAAGCTTATGTGGCTAAAAGTTGATGCAGATCTTCTTTTCCAGTGAATGGAATATAAGATTCCACAAGAAATGGAACCAAACTTCTCATAATGGTGCAACTCCTAAGAGCTGATTAGCGGAGATTAGGCGACTTAATTTTGAAGAGGGATCCGTTGATTTTTCTGTCTCGATCAATCCAAAAGGGTTTCCCGGCTGCAACAGAATGGTTTCTTCTTTACTGTGACCCATCAAACGTTATCTCATTATTGAATATCGACATTCAGTGCAACTATGTTGTGGGGCTTCACTTTTGCATTATTTGAAGAGATAAAACAATGGCTGCTTGACAGCCCATCCGCTGCCAAAGATTCTACTGTTGCAAGCATAAGCAGCTTAGTATCTCATTCAGCTCTGTGAGTAGCCTTTGTTTACTGCTGCTGTATATTCTTAAACTTCTGTAGCATTACTATGTTGATTAGTGCATTATTTGAGCTACCTGTTGAAACTTGTGGAACTAAAACACTTGCGTTTAGTTTCTGCCCATGTCGTCTCCTGCCATGTAAAATATCAGAGACTGAGTTCTTTCTTGTTCGAAGTATGCCTGTCTTGTGGATTCTGTTGTGAAACGTGTCCGGTCTTTACCGTATATTTGTCCCTAAGAATGCACAAACGTTTGTTTCGTAGTATGTAGTATGTAGTATGTAGTGCCTTGATTTGGTATATATTTTCATTCATTTCCTTGGATGCTGCTTGCATTGGGGAACATGTTACCGCTTGCGGAAGTAAAAGTCCATATGTTACATGCTTAATGCATAAAATCATCAGAGCGTAGCTTTTGGTTTTTTCGGGTTTTTCCAACGTGATGGTCAGTAATCGCGTGTGCACTACGTCTGCACCAGTACGTTTGCTTCTTCTTCCTCCTTTTTCTGGAGATGTTTATCTTGGATTGATGAATTTACTTTCGTTTCATGGCAGATTGAAAACGTCTTAAAATTGTTGTAAACTGAAATAGAAAGGAACGAAGTTACCAAAAAATGTAGAACCCTGGAGTGGTGAATGATTCTTGGGATAAGTCACGGACTAAGTCGCTCTCTTTAAGACGTTTCGCGGCTCTGCCCAAAGTGTGCAACCAGTTCACAAACACCACGTCGTCCCCAGGATAAAATAGCCCAGAACCTTCTTCTTCTGATAGGTTCTTCCTTGCACAATGAAAGAACCTTCGAACTCACATCTTTTCTATATGTTGCTTTCAGAACTTAATTTTAAAAAAGAATAAGATGTTGTTTCTTTTTCTCCTCTTTCTTTTCTTCGAAACAGGGAACATATATATATGCAAGACAATTAAATATACGTTTCAAATTTTTGATATTCAAGGGCTTGAAAATCTTTAATAATAAAAACTGAAGAAACCAAAACTATCAAATAAAAAATGTACATATTCAAACCTAACAAAAGGAACGTACAGGACCTAATCTTCTTCTCTATTCAGAGAAGGAATCCCACCATTTAACTTTCTTACGTTTCAAAAGTAGTGGATGAGATTACTCCTCATCAAAAGGTAGGATTAAATACAATTTAGGTTATATATATATATATATGTTTAATGATTGTAATAAGTCCAAATATAAATACCACAACGAACAAAAACATAGCAATTAAAATATTTAAATAAAAACATATTTACTCCAACAATGTTTCATATTTTCGTGCCTGGCCGGCTCGATTGCTGCTTCTCTAGTCGATGTAATACGAAACTGAACGGGACAATGGCATCTGATCTTTCAACTATTTTCCCGTTTGAAGTACTTCAAAAGAAGCGATGCTGCAGAACTTGACACACTAAACAGCAAGACGTCTCCTACAGTACACCGGTGTAAGTGATGCACCGGAACTACGAACGTCCACTGCAGCGATGCATCCCACATGCCGTTGCATTGCAGAATTTTCGCAGCAAAACTGACGACCATATGTGTGATAAAGCTGATTTGAGCAACTTAGCCAGTTGTTTACAGTGAGCGCTAGAATAATTAAGGGGCGCATAATTGATGAAGCTTGAAGAGGCTGACATTATTGTGCCTAAAATATTAAAATGGATTGAAGGTGGCCCTTCAAAGGACTACTTATATTATTGTACCTACAACGGATAAGACCCCTTCCGTGTCTTCTCGCTCCTGTTGAGATGGCACACATAAGGGTGTGCATTTCCGTTGTAAGTAAGTCACTTTGCCTTCAAATACACGTTTACATTAAAGAAAATGCAGTTAACCGCACTATATAATCATTCTATTTTCAGTCATGTATGTTAAGTATAAACCCATGTGGCCAAAAGTCTCAAATTTTTCAGAAAGATTCTTAAGTTGAACCGCATATGTAATGCAAAAAGGGAAAAAGACGTAAAAAAGGGCCATCAAAGTGCTTTTCATGATTGCTTTCCTTTAATTATTTTATTCCAATATTCCATTCCCTTCCCCCTGTTACTGATTTTTTTTAATCATACATGACAACAAATCTTTGATGTTGAACGAGAATATTAGTCAATTATTATCCACACTTAATACTTTCATTTTTTTAGGAAAACTAATAAAAAAAGCTTTAAAACTTTAAGTTTTAATTAAAATGACAAAATTGTGTTGTAAGTGAATAGTACCATGAGTGACTTTTTAGAGTAAAAATATCATTTTCGTTAAAGTTAACAGTACCATGAGTGTTTCGTTAAAACTCCTCTTTGTTTTTTTTCTTCTAAACTTCTCTTCCCTTCCTCTCTTGAGTGGAAGAGACTTTTCAATGTGCCCAGAACACAGAGCGCTACATTAAGTGTAATAATACAATTGGTTGGAAACTTGAAGAAATTTTTTTTCAACTAATTGTATTATGAAGCTTGTTATGTCATACTGTGTTTCCTATGCACTGAAAAATTTATCCTTGATTGATAATTAACTTTGAAGTTAATTCTTTGTTTAATTATTAGCATAAAGCATAAGACATGTAGTAAGTGGTATCATGATTGGGTTTTGTCCACGCTTCACAAACCGAATTGAGACTTTGAAATTGCACTTATACATACCAAGTTTTGTACTAGCATAGTCAAAAGTGTTCATTCCACCATGCATACATTGTCAACTACTATTGCCTTTTCAAAAAATAACTAGTTAAGTTAGAGAAAATTTTTGGTATGTTCTTTTTATTACAATAACTCTCATATTAATTAATAGTATATGGAGTCGATGAGATTCACAAGAATCATACAATACAGAGAATATCATACTTTAACAACAAGTGTCTTACAAATGATGTAATAGGACAACTATAACTCAAATTTTTTCTCTCGTTAAACTAGATAGCTCTCTACGTCAACACTCAACAAACATTTTCATTTTATGTTTTATTGAAGAGAGTTGGTATTAAAAATGTCATTTTAAGCTAATCCCTTATTACGCAACAAAACAGTATATCAAAGCAGGGCATACTCATATTAACTCTATGATCTAGTGATATAATACTCTTCACTTGAAGTTGAAGGTTTCAAGTTTATCGCACTTGGTAATGAGTTTGATATCTAAATAGTACAACTGGCTTGTGAGGTTTACCCCCAAATTCGAATCCTAAGTTCTCACTTACTTGATATTAATTAGTTATAAATTAATTAATTAAATTTCTTTTTTGCAAAGGGAATCACTTACCAACCAAAGGTGTTAGGTTCGGAAAAATACAAAAATAGTGGGATTCAACAAACATAAGCATAAAACTTACCCAAAATCCAAAAAGAAAAGTTTGGTAAAAAATGACCTTGGATGATCTTTGTGAGGACAAATTAAGCAATGAATTGCAAACCCCATAAGAAATGAATTTTTCTTTCTTTCCTTCTTTGCGTATCTTATTTACTTTTTACTTTTAAATTATATAAATTAAAAAAATCCATAAATATGTACAAAGAAAGTATAAAAAAAGCGTGTAGAAATTATTTTTTTCTACGAAATCAACCGAATTCCCCTCTAATTTCCAGAGAAGCAATGAGCCTGTGTTGTGCATCACACCATCCTTCACACATTACATTTTTGAAGAAAATTGAGGTTCTAGGGTTTAGAGTTCCTTAACGTATGACAAACTTTTGAGCCTAACTCGTAGATTACACTAATCGGATGATGTAGAGCACTTATGATCATTAGACTTCACACATGAGACAACTTGCTCTGATACCATAAAAAAGTTGAGATTTCACTATAAAACCAATCGGTAGCTCAATTACTTTTAAGCACATGCAATGTCGTTTCTTTTCTCGATGTGAGATTTAGTACTCTCAGTGCACATCCTCAAGTGTGACGAATTTGCAAGCCTAACACGTAGACAACACAAATAAGTTAATGTAGATCACGTGTGACCGTTGAGCTTCATACATTCATACATGAAACATACCGCGAAGAAAATTAAAATTCCACCATAAAATTAATTGTCAATATAAAAAATATCCCAAAAACTTCATATGTAAAATCTCTTCTTTTTCCGACATAGAATTCATAGTAACACATTCCATCATCAACATTTCCAATCATCACAAAACTCATCACATTCATAAAGAAATTAGAGGGCCCAACTAACCCCATCCAAAATATAAAAAAGTAGGAGACTTTGTCACAAAGTTCCATTTGTTCATATCATATATATCATACGATCTCTTCTTCCTTCTTCTGTATATATAATCCGCCGGAAAAATGGACGAGTCGTGGCGCATGCGCATGGGATTAATGCCAGGCCTCCCGCGGCGGCGCTCCGCTGAGCACGCCTCCACGAGCTCTATATTTGCTGCCGCGGCCGCCAAAGACTCCCATATGACGCTTGATCCCGACGACTTTGCCGACGTATTCGGCGGACCGCCGCGGAGCGTACTTCCGCGCCAACTCTCCCGCGGCTCGACTTCCTTCCACGAGGAGATTTTCCGGCCGCCGAATTTCTGCTCTACCGCGAAGAATAGCGGGGGAAGCTTGCCGGCGTTTAGAATTCCGGCGAGGAACGAGGGGTTTTATTGTGATATTTTTGGATCGGGCGACGATGGCCGCCAGCGGAAGTCGAGAGAGCGCTCGAGGCCGAACTCGAAGGCGAAATCGAACTCGTCTTCGGTACTGAGCTCCGAGGAGCTGAGTCCTCTCCGGCCGGTCATCGGAGATGACGTGGCATTCTCCTCCTTCGCTTCGAAGCTCAGGTAGTTTGCTGTAGTGGCTGTGTCAGTTCGCGGTACGGCCAACTGTTTTTGCTGCTGTTATTTAGTTTGACGATTATACCCTTGATATTGCTTTAAATTTGCTTTCATTCTGCCTTGAATTTGGTTAAATACTAGAGAACTTTAACGAAAAGTTTCTGGTACTGTTTATTTTAACAAAAGATCACATTTTTACACTAAAAAGTCAAAGTCAATTCTGGTACTATTCACTTTACTCTTTATTTTGTCCTTATCATTAAAACTTAAAGTTTTAAAGCCATTTTCATTAGTTTTCCTTAAATACTAAGGGTATTTAAATCTTGTTTTTGGCCAAAATATTTGGATTTTAAATAAAAAATAACTATTCTTAAGAATTATTATTAGTGTTTTAATTTATTTATGCCTTGGATTTATTGGGTTGGTACCAAGTAAATTTAAGATTTTGGTTGGATAAAATAGCTCAAATATTTTAACATTTGAGTGAAGTTAACTAAGTTAAAATATTTTAAGCACTTTTTTTTTTGGGAAACTTGATATAACTCCAATTTTTTAAGCTAATAGTAAGAATGGTCCAATTTATTAAAATAAGTTCAATTTTTTTAATTTAATTATTTAATTATCAATAATTATCTCTTAAAAGAAAAAACTTATTGTAAAAATCAAATTTCTTCTTAATTATCTCTTTGATTATCTCTTTTTATATATATATATATATTGTTATTTCTTGTTCTTCCTCCTGTTTTAACCCATTTATAGATTTTTTTTTAATTTTTATAATCAACCTATATCATAGGTTAATTATATTTATCTACCTATATAACAAATTCTTTTTCATAGTCAACCTGTCACATATTAATGTGTCTTGCTTGTAGGTATATTATGTTTTTTTCTACCTTTTAGTTAGGTTTCATATCTCACTTGTAGGTATAATATACATTTATATATTTTGCTACTTGACTTAGGGTATAATGTTTTGCAGATAGATTTATGTTAGTATATTAATTTTTTTTTTGTTTATAAGATATTAATTAGATATTTTGGAGTTGAAAAATGCATAATATTAAAAGATTTTAATTGATTTTTAATATTTTTAGAAAATATAAAAGGAGTATAAAAGAAATAAAAATATATAATTAGATAACTTGAGTCATTCCTAAAAATACTCTATGTTTTATGGACCTGGATCTAAAAGCCCCTTTTTTCTTTTTTGTTAAGCAATGCGTACATGTTGCGTCAATTAAATCTTAATAATTTTATCAGAGTATGCATCATTTGGCATTTAGACGCAGTACAAAAATGCGGCATTTATAGCATTACTCTTTTTTTTTTTGAACAAACGATATTATCTACAATAAATGGGAGGGGTGGACTTAGCCTCATAATGGACTAGCAATAATGTGGTTCAAACTCGCATTTAGCAAGAATCGAACTTAAAACCTCTCACTTACAAGTGAAGAGGAATACCACTAGATTGTAGTACCAAGTGGCGGCATTACTCTTAATCAAAAGATTAAGATCCAATTTATATTTCAAAAAAATTAGTAATCCAATTATCAATGAGTTTTCTCAACTCAAACATATTCTTGATTGCTACAGACCACTAAATGTACCATGTCGATGGAACTCATCAACTATGAAGCCAACAGAGGAACACCCAAAGAAACAAGGCACATCAGCTCTGCATTGCAACCCTCTTTCCTTCACTGAAAACCAAGTCATGGAAAAATTATATGATGAAAAGCTCAGGAGCTCCAACAATTTCGGATTCACAAGGAAGGTCTTGTCCCCAGAAACCATTAGTGTTGGTCCCAATTCTTGTCGAAGCGTCAAATTACCTGTGGATGATCTGGAGCTCCCCTCACCATCCTCAGCAGTCTCTTCACTCTGCCAAGAACATGAGATTAAATCCGGGATTTGGGATCGCGTTTTGCGGGAGAAAGAAGTGGGGGTATTGGAACAAGAAGAAGAAGAAGATGATGAAGTGATGAGCTCTTATGTGATTGAGATCAATTCTGATCAGCAAAGAGAAGAAGCAGTTGGTATTGAAGAAGCAATTGCATGGGCTAAAGAGAGGTTTCAAACACACAGTAATTCCGAGAAAGAAGGGAGCTTGACACAACAAGACAATCAGCAGTCGATGGATGAAGGTGATTTTTGTTACTCTCTAAACTAAACCCGAAACCTTGAATCCTAAACCCTGGAATTTCAAATTATGCATGAGTACTAACTATATATTGGTGAAGTCACGATTTAGTTTTTGAACTATCACCTTAGTGAAAATTAGGTCTCTGAATTATTTTTTCGGTAAAATAAGTCCCTAAATTCATTACAAATTGCTAATTTCATCCCTACTATTATATTCAAAGCTGTTTTATCCAATTTTTCGTCACCTTAAGTCACTTGACACGCTTTAGAGTGTAATACCATCAGTTTCTTGTCTATAAGCCCTTAACATTTCATATAGGTTGCGAATTTAATGTCTAATTTACCCTCAAAAGTTAACTTACACTATTTCTTTATGAAAAAAACTATCAATTTATCCTTCAAAGTTAACTCCATACACTATTTCTTTATGAAAAACTACCAATCTGTCCTCCAATGTGTATTACATGCAAGTAACGTGACTTAAATTGACGAAAATTGAATATAGTAGCTTCAAATATAACATTAGGGATGTAATTGGCAGATTTTTATAATTCAGGAACTAATTTTTCTAAAAAAATAGTTTAGGGACCTAATTTTCACTAAGGTGATAATTCAAGGACTAAATTGGCTGTTTACCCTGTAATATATATATGGATCATTCAGGTAGGTCTAATGTGGATGAGTACTCAGATCATCAGCAGCAAGATGAACTACTTGTTGAATTGACTCAATCTCCAGAGGTAAATTATTTTGGTTAATTTTGAAGGCACGGGGCGAACTGTATTCTGTGTGTATATATACATTATTTATCATTTTTCCAACATCGACTTGTTGGGTAGGATGAAGAGGAAAGGACACGGATAACTGAAGACGAAAGGAAACCTTCAGAGAAAGATGTAAGCTCTCTCTTCTTGCATGATATTCTGCTGCATAAATTTGTACTTGGAATAATCATACCATAAGTTTGAGCAATGCTTTGTGTCTTGTATATTATTACAGTTGGAATTGGAGCTCTTGGATGAAGACATAAGGTTATGGTCATCTGGCAAGGAATCCAACATTCGTATGCTGCTTTCGACGCTACACCATGTAAGTAAAGATCTTTGGATTTACTTCGAATAATTAGCACTGCTCGGCTCCTTACGGATAAAGATTTGTTTCTTCTTACGTGCGAATATATAACTTATTGAAAGCACAACTGAAAACGTTTATGCATGCGGATCAAACTCTGATTAATCCGTAAGGAGGATCGACCACTGACTTACATGGTTTGTTTTGTGTGGTGTTGACTGGGGATCAGATTGTGTGGCCCAACAGTGGATGGTATGCAATTCCATTGACAAGCCTAAAAGAAAGTTCACAGGTGAAGAAAGCCTATCAGAAAGCAAGGCTGTGCCTCCACCCGGACAAACTGCAACAAAGAGGAGCAACATCTGCTCAAAAATATATTGCTGAAAAGGCCTTCACCATCCTCCAGGTAAATAAATATTTGGTTATCTATCGAGAACTAAAACCTCGTGGTCCATTTTGAAAAACAGCTCCCCGCCTCGAGGGATAAATTACTAACCCTAATTGTTAACAAAGAACAGTCAGACTAATTCTGACAAGTAATGATGTGGGAACTGTAGGATGCATGGGCTGTGTTCATCTCCAAAGATGTATTCATTATTTAGTGGATGATCTGAATTACTATTGCCTTTTGAACTCATTTTTTACTCCAAGGTTGCAAGTGAAGAATAAGCATCAGCAACTTTGTATGAAAACTCGGCCGCTATCCTTTCCTTGTGGAAAATATGTACATTAATTTGTTCGATTAACTGCGTTTGGGTTTTTGTATCTGTATATTTTATTTTCGAGTCCCTTTTGACTCTCATACAAAGTCCCGTCCTGTACGGACCGTCCAGACGTGTTGAGAAAATCATATTTCTACTCAATGTTCTATTAACTTTGATTACGTTTGTAAAATCATCATTTAGAAAGGTGATCTCGCAAGGAGAAATTCTAAGAAACGATCGGCGGAAGGACCATGCATATAACCACGGACAAAACCTTGGCCTCCTGTATGGAGGAATGAATTATATGACACGGGTACACCACCACTAACGATTACACATGGATTGTAGTAGTTGGCTGCTTGGTGTTTCGCTCCGTTTATGTAACCCATTTTCTCACAACCTTCATCTTGCTCAGCATCAACAAGATGTAGTTCTGCATGCCATTTTCGTTCGGAGAAGCCGATGAATAACATTTAAACATTTTAAGAACCAGGAAAGGCAAACCAAAATACTCTAAGCATCCTCCAAACATCGGAAATCAGAGACGAAAGTCGCTACTAGCTTCACTCTTGAAGCCGAGCCGAATACGATCCAATTACATCATTTGATCAGAATCTGGGGACGTTGTGTGTGATATCATCCTTAATTACTCCAGAGTTTAATTTACACAATGAAGGGTAAAGTGAATTTTACAAAACGAAATGTAGTCGGCGGAACAAATTTTGGAAAAGAAAACGAAATGATTGAAAGAATATGATGAAGAAAACCGAATGGTCCCTCGTCCTTAGGGGGACAATGAAGTTCAATATAAGGGCAATGACAAATAATTGAACTTCGACACCTTATTAATGTCAATATGGTGCCAGATCTTCTCCATCACTTGGTTCTTGTAATGACTATGTGGGTGAGATCTAGGAGTGCCCTCCTCGATTTTCTGACATTCTCGTCTTCGCTCTCGGGCAGAGATTCGATTGCTGCTGCGGCAAGGTTTGCGTGTTTTGTGGCTAGCTCCCTTGTCCTGTGTATTCCGCGGCTCCTACCTAGATAGTCAAGAGCCTGTAGAAATATACCATGAAAACCAATAAGAATTGAACATAATAAAACTAAGACGACTGCATTAAACCATTTATATTCATTCAAAAATTGTTTCCTTTTTCTGCTCTTCACCTCTCATTAATAAAATTTCATGAACAATACTGGTTAGAGTTGGACATTTAATGAGCGGCGAAAATTAGGAAACGGAGGATCTCTTTGTTGTTGAGAGGGTTGCCCAAAAAGCAGTATATAAGGGCGTACCCAGTAAAACTTACAAGTAAACCAGATAAAAAGATGGCAACTAGGGTTGCTGTTTCCATTATTATATAGTTTTAAGACATTATAAAGTTTTAAGACCACAATGGATCTATCTAAAGCTGGACGACAGAAACAGGTTTTGACGGGCAGTACTTCAAAACAATGCCAAACTAGCCCACAACAGCACTTACTGAGGACTAGTCTCAGTCTTTGCACTATCGGGTGGCAGATTTCTCAAACTTAATATTGCTTTTTAAAGGGATTACTACATCATGCTTGACGTCTGCCAAGACGGATTTAGAAGTAATTCCAAACATCTGACATGCCAAACTCTTGACCAATGAAATGAGTCAAACTGTCGAATTTTAAAAGAAAAGTTGGCCATTGGCTGTAGAAATTTTCAATATCAGCTACTAATAATGGAATTGCAGGAAAGACTTTCAACGAAAAGAAAAAACAGATCGCATTCATCATGAAATCGCATCACAATCACACTAAAATAAAACAGTACAGTAATAAAACTTGTGAAGCAAACTATGCAAACTTACGAGTTCAATATTTGCAGGGTTGTTGTCAAGGCCCTGTTCAACAACTGTACGCAACTGAGGAAACTCTTCCATGGCAAACAATATTGGAGCAGTTACGATGCCCTACAAAACAATTATATAGTAGCACAAAATTATGACAAATAACCAAAAAAGTAAGGGGGCTCTCAATCATGAAAGTTGAAAACATAGCATGACATGATTTAGAATAGTTAAGGATTTCTCTCAATTTACTATGAACTGAAAAACTGATACTTGGTTTCAACACGCTAAAATACTGGCCATGAAATACATAGTATCTTAAGGTCAAGTGCACCATGCATTTTCTTCATAGAAAATGCAAGCAAGCAAGCTTGTTGAGCATGCAAATATGGAAAAGAAAGGAAAGAATGAAAGATGAATACTGTTATTGCAAATTAGAAAAACCGAAACATTTTAAGGCTGATAGACACAGATATACTCTCACTTTAAGCTACCAAACTCAGCCATGAGATGTACCTAGCTCAGTAAGGAGCAGGAGAGAGACAAATCTCACGTGTTCAAACATAGAAATAGGGTTTTCTATTTAAACACCACATCCTAGCTAAGTTCACGCCACCACTTAAGTCTAATTTGTTTTAAATTTTTAATTGTATGAAAAGACAAAAGAAGACATATATCTATTTAGACCCCATAAACCCTAATCTTTTTTAAAAACAAAATAAAAACCTTCATCTTCCTCTATCGCTCATCTTTCTGTACCACTTGAGTTCATACTTATCTACACATCAACCTATAAAACTTACTTGAGTTCATGCTTGATAGGAATCCAGGTGGCTGCTGAACTTAGTGATTAGGGTTTGATATAGAAATGGGGCAATTCATGTTCGATTGGAATCGGGATTGATAACAACTAAAACACATCCAAACATGTCATGTATCTGTTGGTGGGGGTGGTGTTAGTGTTTAAGGATGTTTTTGGAATAATATGGTGAACTGAGCAGAAGTTAAAATTTAAAATTTTAAGGGGGTGTAGAAAGAAATTGGGGTGAAGTCAGATGAGAGATCGTGTTTAAATAGAAAAACTCTAGAAATATTCCATTACCAATCAACACTTACATGGCGGATGTCAGATAAAGAGCCCTTTCCAAGTGAAGCTGATGTGCCCGTAAAATCAAGAACGTCATCTATTAATTGAAATGCCAATCCCTGAAGGAAAAAAATTAGTCAGCTTGATACACACACACGCACATCGACCCATCAATCGAACATGCATGTCAAAAAACCATCGGAAAATATACATTGTTTGAGCATATAATTATTATTTCTCTCTATATGTGCTTCTGTTTGGAACATGACTATTAAAATCATAAAAAGATCCTAGAATTACGCTTGCTCGTCAAGAAAATTAGACAAAAGAATTCCAAGAGCTTACTCACCAGATTTTTTCCATACTCATAAGCCAACGTAGCAACTTCAGTTGTATGCCCAGCAAGAACGGCAATTGCCTTGCAACTATTTGAAATCAGTGATGCAGTCTTGAAATATGTCTTTTGTATATAAAATTCCATGCTGCAACAAATTCCAAATTTGATCATAATTAGCAATACTTAAATCTTAAAGAAACCTGAATCAAGACATCTATAGAAAAAAAATCCGTGTATATACATAACATCAACAATGATTTGCTCACACTCAACTAATTGAAGCTTTTGCAAATGGAAGATTGAGTATTGTAAGTATGAATAATGCATGCCTATTTTGTCTCCCGCACTTCCGCTCTCTCTACAACACGCTTCGTTGTAAGTTGTAATAGCCCCCAACTTAAATTTTTTCCTCTATATAATCCCCAATTCTCACCCCTAAGTGGCATTATTCAAGAATTTTTTCATGTATTCAAAAACTATAAAGATGAGCAGCACACTACATACAAGACGAGACAAGCCAAATCCCAACCTAATAATGCCACCCTATAGATATACTTCTATAACATAGTAGTTTATTACCTCAAGGGAAAAGAAACAAATATCAAGATGTCAATGTTTTACAAACACTACATGGCCTAAACATCTACTCACATCATGTATCACGCAAATAGAAAAAAAGCAAACAAAAATGTAAACATATGACAGAAGCAGCAGAGCAGTGTACCTACAACGTTGATCAGATGTGGTAGTCATTTGCATGGTTTCACCTGTCACAAGATGCTCAACAACCGTTGACAGTAATGATACAACCTACAAATGCACAAAAATGATGCAAAAACATGTTAAAACAACTAAAGTGAATGCGCATCCTTGTGTCTGTGATACTTGGGAATATGACTATGAAAAGGTATGGGATCCATGTCCAGACTTGCTGAAATTTCAGGCAGATCACCTTCATACTTCACTGGTGGATGATAATGTTGAAGGTTGTCGTGTTTGGTGATGAAAAAATTGATTCAGTAGTTTATCCCCGAGTGTGAAAGTTCATAAGAAGGAAGGGGGAGGCAAAACTAAATTAACTGCCTTGCTTGACAAGATAAGGAGCTGACCCATTTGATTGAATAAAATATATCAGGGATTTTTCTCTTTCGTATTACTTGTTTGGCCTTAAGATACTTTATTCTTGCTCCACATCTTTCGTAGTAGCTTACATGACATGGAACATTGCAATGTGCTAAAAGTAATAAGCAAGGGCATCGAGGTCGACCTGGAAGATAGTATGGACCTTGGCAATATACCATTCCAAAATGAGCCCCAAATCCCAGTCATTAAGGAACTGACAACACTCCCTCCCCACCCCCACCTCCCTGCAGCCTGACCCCACCAAATAAACTTTCTAGTTATAGGCTAATAAGAATCAAGATTATGCGTTAAATCTAAATAACATTTTTTCAACATAGGGATGAAATAAAACTCCTCTAAGCATAGTCTGCCAGAACAGCATATCGAATATGTGGACCTTTGTAGCCAAGTCTCTCATATCCCTAATATCAGAAACAATATGAGCCAAAAAGCATGAAATATAGTCCCACGTGTTATTGCTCATCTCAGTATATTAGTACATAATAATCCATCCGTACCTCTGTGTTTCTCAAAGACGCAAGTGCGACACAAGCTCGGGAAAGCAGAAAATCCCCTGCTAAAACAGCTAACTGCATTCAATAGTGGAAAGATGAGTATCATATCATACAAAACCCATTCATAACTCTGTATGTTCCCAAAGCAGAATCATTATTAATAACGGAAAGAAAAAAGGGAAAAAATTGATATAGTACTGCAATCAATCTCACATTCTATTAAAATGTTCAATAGTTTAGCAATAATTAATATCATTCGGCGGGAGGGGTGATCAGCAGCAGCCATGTGTCCCCTTCCCCTTTTAGATATCAAAATAAGCTCTTCTAGGAATGGAAATTACATAACTAGCAGCTGTCCCAAATAGCGTTTAATAGAAAACATACCATTCCTTCATGTTCTGGGCCTTTATCATATTGATTGTTGGATATCATCCAACGACTAGAACATGATATGGGCCTTGTTTAAATGCTAAATGTGATGCATATGGACACTCTTATACATATGTAAAATTATCACAGAAACTCTCCAAAACTCCAACAAACACATTCGTCCCTATACCTTTGATTAAAATGTAAGTAACTTTTGAAGAGAGAAGAAGAAATGTGTCAAAATGAATTATGTTCTTCTAAGAAAAGGCAATTTGACCAATTTAAAGGAACCAAAAGCACACCTTATTTCCCATTACACAATTTAATGAACCAACACCACGCCTTGTGTCTGCATCATCCAATACATCATCATGTAGAAGACTTGCCACCTGACACATAAAAATAGTTACGTTACAAGCTTTTTTTGGCTTCAATCTTGAGAACAATATCATATCCTCAATGTCAACAACTTACTCATTAAACATTATAACACATATACCATTCCTATCAAGTGTAACTAGATTTTTCACAGAAATTCACTGATACAGTACATGCTAAGTTAATAATATTACTGTAGATAACTTGCTGGGGCGGAAAGGTAAGATGATACATTTACGCTTACCAAAAATTTAGGGGAAAAAGGAGTTCTAATTCGAACAAGTGCAACTCAGAAAGAATTTATAACAACCCATTAAAAACAGTTTTGGAAGGACACGAATGAATCTAGGGATTCCCCACAGACAATGCATGTTATTAGTACACTAGAAAACGATTTTTTTTCTAGTAATATGTACTATGTAGCATATATATTAAAATAAAAAACGATACCAACAAAACCACTAGCAATGATATAACTAACATGAATCATCTCTGTAACTTCTGCTATACATTGTTGTCTTGCGCGTAGCTCTGTTGACAAAGCCTCTCGCAACTGCGTAGGAGGTTCAGGTACAGTGATATTCAAAGCAGTTGACATCAGCAATAAGACCTGCGTATAGAATAAATTGAGCAACTTTTAACCTTGACGACAATCATAATTCCTGAAAACATAAAGTTGGGATCAAGAGTTTGCATGTTAGACACAGAACAATAATCTTCAGCCACTTATCTATTCCAACGGATTCTCCTAAGAGTACAAGACAGAAGGCAATTTACTAAATAATATATAGCAAGAAAATATCCAGTATACAGCATCTTGATATTCTGTGAAACAGAGAAAGTGAAACAATGAAATAGTACTATTTATATTACCGTGGGACGAAACCTCTTTCCTTCTACCCCCATTTTAAAGAAGTATTCGGCAGCGGAGGCAAGCTTAGGGACCTGGAATCAAGAACAAATCTGATCCATGATCATATGATATAACATTTGAATCTTATGAAACCATCAGGATCAACCCTCCATTCTAACATGTATGTCCTTAGCGTAAAATCAATGAAATCCAAGGAGACAGAAAATAGATATACCTCAGCAACTACCATTGCCCGCAACCTGTTTGCAATAATTGACAGTTCATCGGAAACAAGTGAGAATGGGTCAAGTGGTTCCTGAAAATCAGTATGTAAGCACATTGGTAGAGTGGACAAACAAAATTATCTATGACGAAAGAAAACTAAAGTTTCTAAGAGAATGGTACATGAGAATTTTGAACCTTGACAACGACGACAAGTTAAACTTACTTTCAACTTTGTAATTGGCCACAAGAAACAATAAACATCTCATACATTTCGCTCAAGAGGCTGATCTCACATAAACTAACTACTTAAACTTTTGCATAATCAGCCAGGATTCAATTAAAAAAATAACACCCCGGAAACTCGAAATTTTCATGCTTTCATACATTTGACATTGAACTTCCAAATGGGCGTGTGGGAAAATTAAAAAACAACCATAAATATGAATACCCAAAAACCTCACCTCAACCATGGAGCTGCTTTGCTGGTGAATTTGGTGCTTCGAAACATGGAAAACCGGCGGCAAGCCCCACGAAAAGAACTCTCTGCAACCCATAATCTACCAACACACAACCAATCAAAACCCTGAAACATAACATAATACAAACACATTCCCAAAACTTTCAATCTCAGAGATTTACGGAGCGAAGTTACCTTCTGGGTCGAATCACTCAGCGACTGAGAGTAAGCGCTGGCGGCAACGAACTGCGGGTCCCGGCGATGGGAAAGAAAACACCGACACAACCCATTGAAGCTGCTTCTTTGAATCCGAGAAAATCCCCGCGAAAATAACATACTTTTCTTTTCTCTGTCGCAGTAAAACTGAAAGCGATTTAAAGGGACGAACTTTAAGAGAGAGAGAGAGAGAGTTTCAGAGAGTTTTTTGGGTTTTTTTGGGAGAGGAGGGTCAAAGTGGAAGAAGAAGAAGGAACGCCTAAGGGAGGAGAGAGGTGTGTGGCTTATGTGTAAGCGCCACAGCCATGTGACGAATTGACGACCGCCAAACGCAGACCATGTAACAAAACGCGCACTTTTGCTTCCTAAATTCCTCCTACTCAAGGTTTAGTTTTACGGACCTAGCTTCTATATATTCTCATTTTTTTTTATTTGTACGGTCACGATTAAATCACGTTAATATTTTATATCATTATTAATTTTTATCTTATTATCTATATAAAAAATCAATATAAAATATTAACGTAGCATAACCGTTACCGCACAAAATAAGAAGAGATGAAAGTGTATGGGAACTGGGAGCACCGAGAAGCCGCATCCTATTTTTACACAATTAAGTGCCAATAATGCTGCAAAAGTTGCAATTATTTTGAAAGGGAAGGTTCCTATTAGGGTTTAAGTAAAAGAGTGCAAATGATATTTTTATTTTTATTAGATGAAAAGGGTTTACACGTAGAAAGATCTTAATCACCAGAACCATTCATCATTCGCTCGACTTGTGGACTTTAGATAGACTGATTGTTTATAGACAATGATACTTTTACATTTAAAAGAGCGAGGAGTTTCGATTAAACCATACAATGAACTAGTCATAATAATTTAATGTCAAATCCACTTTTTATGAAAAATCAAATTTTAGTGATCAGAAATTTCACCAAACCATAATGTAGACAATTTAAAATTTATAAATTTTTCCACACCCCGCATATTATTCACCAATTTTTACCTCGTACATCTTTCTTGATGTTTTATCATTGATCTACTTTAATTCATTTGATCTGACGGCTAAAAACTAAAAGAGTGTGTAAGAAGTAAAAATAAAATTATATTAAAATTTTAGTGGTCAAGAAGGGAGAATCAAACACATTATCTCGGGTGCATGATAAATGCGCTCTTAACTAAACGATTTACAAGCTTAGAAGAAACTATACATCTTGGATAACCTTGTACAACGAGCTGTGCTCAATGCTCATCTGATCCACCCCCTAATTCCCTGAGCAAGTCCCTAAACTCCTCATCTGTGCTCTTAAGCATCAATGGCAAAGGCACTTCCACTCCCCTCTCCACAACCTCCATGTCCTTGGAGGTAAGAGAGGGCCGGTTTTGAGCTGGCTTTTCACACTTGAGGCAAGCAATCTAGGGCACTTGTTGATGACCTTTCGGAAGTTGTTATCCGGGACTTTAAGGTCTTCAGAGAGGAAGACGAAAACCGGGTTGAGGTCGGACTTGATGCTGGAGGTGAGGATGTTGGGGCACATCCCAAAGATCTTGGCCAGGTCCTTTTGGTGGATGCCTTTGGAGTGGAGGAAGGAGATGACGGAGCGGATGGAGTCGAGAGTCGCGGAGCGGAGATTAGGGTTTTCGGAGAGGGCTTTGCCTGCATCAACTCGCATGATTTCAAGGCAGAGGATTTTCTCTTTGAATTGGAGGGAGAGTTTAGTGCGGGTGGGTGTGTAGAGAGGATACTTGTGGAGCAGGCTTTTGGGTTTTGCAGCCAATTGGGTGTCTAGATTAGATGATGATGCCTGGGAATTGAAGGGAGTAGAAGAAGATTTAGAAGAGCAGCAGAGAGATGATTGCAGTCTTGCAGAGCTGCTGCTGCTGAAAATGGCATGGGTTTTTTTGGAGAGGGAGGGAGAGAGTTTTTCTTTTCTTTTTTTGTCTGTTGAAATATCATCCGCTGGGAAGTCTTTAAGGAAAACTAATGAAAGTGACTTACGTTGAGTTTTAACAACAACAACAACAACAAAATCTTTTCCCACTAAGTGGGGTCGGCTATGTGAATCCTTACTTTGAGTTTTAAAGATAAGAACAAAATAAAAAGAAAATGAATAGTATCAGAATTGATTTAAAATAAACAGTACCATAAACTTTTCATTAAAGTTCCCAAGTTTTTAACTGTATGGGTGGACAGGGAGTAACACCTGGCAGTTTGGTTGAATCTGATTGGTTGAGATTGGATTTCAAAGACTGTTTGCGGATTAAATCCAGACCTTGCATACCAATGGAAACAGAGTGAAAAGAGTGGATGAAAATCTAAAGGGAAGTGATTCCCGTAGACCATTTGTTCTCCCTGCACATCCATGTTTACTTCTGGCTTTGGAATAATCAGGAGTCGGGAAATAAACAAGGGTGTGCGGATATCTATTTCCCAAATCTAGCCTCCCCTAATTATCAGTGGTGTTTGAGTACAACATTTGCAAAACAACAAAATGCTTCAAAACATCGAATTGGGACAAACACGGAATAAAATTATTCATCGGTGGAGCAAAGGAAGGGTTCCCATCACTGCCCATAAGAAATCTCACTTGACACTATCACAGTTCACCATAACGTGCAGTCTAAAGACGTTATAACAACATTACAGCAAAATTCAGGAAATTATGATTGTTCAAGCATGTCCGTTCGATGAGTCATAAACAAAAACCTTTAACGAAAGTAAAGACAAGGAAGTTAAACTCCTCTGCATGAGAATGCTTCTAAAATTCTTACCAGAACAAAATCGCATCTAAAATTGCGGCGATTATGAAAATTACACCGCCGTAAAGAGGGGGAATAGGGGGAGCGGCTCCAGTTGCAACTAGTGAAACTTTGCTCTCAATCTTCTTTCGACACTGAATGAGGTTTCTGATCCTGCGAGGAACGCATAAACAAATATATTAAAATAAAAAGCGCCAAAGAAAAAGATTGTTGGTTTTGTAATATATAGAAGATGCAGATCATTTTAGCTGTGCAGTTAGCACCAATTTTACAGAACTGTAATGAAACAGTAATGATTATCTTACTTAGTAGTCAGCACCAACAGAAACTGAGTTTCCTACCCACGATATTCACCCCCTCGTGGGTAGTTATAATCATTTCAGCAAACTGTAACTTCTTGATGCAGATTTACAGAGATATAAAACCACGTGTTTGCTAATGAAATATGACTATGAATCCTTTCAAGACTACCAAAAGAGCTTCGTTCTACTGAAATGTTTACCTTTAATTGGAAATAGCTCCATTGCTCCTCTCAATATTGCCCCTGGCTTCGACTTATAGAGTGGTTTTGAAGGAGTTTCTGGCTAGGGGTTTGGTGATCATCCTGCAAGTACAAATGCAATCAATGTGTATAATGCAACGAGAAGAAATTGTTCAAATGATTGGTTATTTTTATGGGTGCTGCATCCACACACCCCCTATTAATTTATGTCTTTTGATTTTCTTCCATTCATTTGATCCGACGGCCGGAAATTGAGGTGTGTGGATAGCACCACCCCATTTTTTATGCATTCATCTACTCATATGGTGTACTTGATTAGCATCAGAGTACGTACAACACCATGTATAAATGCAGGATCTACAACACCAAAGTGTAAATGTAAAGAAACAAACCTTGTATAAAGATGCTGCTGACTCGGACTGTAATGTTTGAATTGCATCCTGCCCCAGTGAACGCAGAGCATCAAGGGCATCTAAGGTTAGCTGCCAACCACAAAGTGCAACAGCAGCAACACTGGAACCATGGCCACAGCTACTACTGCCTGCAGCAGCAACATTCCCATTGACCCAGGGGCAGAATTGGTTGTGATGGCCAATTGGATCAAATTCCATAGGTTCTTCATAATTGCTTTCACCTTTTGGAGGTCCTGGATAACCAAATAGAGTTTATCAAAATAATAGTAAATGAATACATCTGAGCAGAACATCATTCTCCTTTATAGGTATAACTAAATAAATGCAAAATATGCAGTAAAAGTGTGTTTTTTTTTTAGGATGGAGTCATTCACAATATCACATTACAATTTTAAAGCCTTAAATCATCCTAATCCTCAAAAATAAGAACAAGAACGAATAGAAGTCATGTCTTCATATTTGTCAGAGGTTTTGTTAGAAGAACAATGAGAAAAGATGGACAAATATGCATAATTGCCCTACTAGAAATTTTACCTAGCCCGTTGGCAACTGCATACTCTGATTCTTGGTACACACAATTGTTCGTAAATGAAGATTTACCAGCACTTTTAACCTCCTTGGTTGTCCGATAATTGGAGAAGACATTAGCATTGCATGAAAGAGAAGGGCGGGCACTGTTCTCAAACTTGAAGCCTTGACTAATCTTTTCACCACTTTCCACAGATTCAGCCTTAGTAGAACCATCAATCTTTGAGCCACTATCAGCCCTCCCTATAGATCGAGATATCATCTCCTGACTATCACCATGGGGATCTTCCCTATTTATTTCATCAGGGACAATTTCATCCATTAGCCCAGGATCTGGGGCAGATTCACCTGTCTGGCCCTGATTTTCAGCATCTTCTGTTCTAGGTTCCACATCGCCAACTACACTATCTGCTCTATGGACAGATACATCAGCCCCATGAATCTCAGCTTCATGACTAGCACACATTCCAACACTTCCTACACTAATCCCGAAACTAATACCATCCCTGGCCTGAGCAGTCACAGTTTCTGTGTTAAAAATTTCCTCCCCATCATTTGTACTACTGACACCTATTTCCCCAATAACTACATCAGCCACGGGTTGGAAACCAACACTCTGCTGAGCTTGATTACTATAATTCAATTCTGATGTATCATTCATGTCCAGATTTCCATATGTACTAGAAGTGGGGAAATGAACATCATCAACATCTCCGGGATAATTTTCAACACTTTCCATAGAGTCGTCATCTGTACCGTGACCGATTGTATCCATTGCAATGACTGAAGATGCACGTGCTGAATCCATATTTGAATGGATTCCAAATTGGTCGCTACCTTGCGGAAACGAAGCAACTCTATTAGCATCAGCATAAATATCAAGACCCATTGAATGACTGGGACCAGCACCAGATGAACAGTACGTATCAAACATATCTGAATCACGAGCACGTTTTGAAGGCCCAGCTGAGTATTGTCCACCATCTGTAACTTCATCACCATCACGATCAATGACAGTTCCTTCAAAACTATCAGCGTGCTGTGTCCTTAAATGTGGCCTATCAACAGAACTGCCTCCTTTTTCCAAACTCCGCTTACGAGAACTGGGACCCCTTGATTCATATGAAGCTGCTCGATCACCAACCTCACTGCCTGCAGGTTGCCCAATCATCAGATCCCTTCCCATATCTGCGTCCTGAATGTTTTCTGACATTTCTGGTCTGCCAAACCGATTAAAAGTAAAACCTCCTCCCATTGTAAGATTCAAATCAACATCTGTTTTTGGAAACAAGCTCCCCTCAGTTGTTGTTGCTACTTCGTCACGGTCTTCAGTCTGTTCTTTCTCTGCATCATCAGTAGCAACCCAACCACTAATTCCACTGGCTGCACTTGCGCCACGTATCAATCCCAATTTTTTGCTTGTGTCAGGAATATCAATGTTGTTGGGAGTAAATCGCACAGGTCGAGGAATGGTTAAGAAATCCAATATTCTAACTGTAGCCCCACATAAGCTGCAATCTAGTAAGGGTGATCTGGGATCACGTCTAGATTCCTTAACCAACATTTTACTCTTTCCAGCATCTTTTCTAGCAGATGCAGAAACTGCTTTCTTGCTTGGTCCAGGTTCTTGTGAAAGATGGACCTGGGCATACGTCGGCCCAAGAGAATATCCATTTCTAGCTGATTGGGCAGAATGTTCTTCACAGTCTTGTGCATTTAAAAGCCATCGTGGTTCCCATCCACAAAGACTTATAAGCTTCTGAGCCTGATAATAGAAAGGAACTGGATTAGAAGAACATATACTTCAGTGTAATTTGACCAATACAACAAAATCACAAAGAGGGACAAGTTTATAAATAACTCTTACACGAGAATATAAACAGATTGATCCATCTCGGGAGCTTTCCTGTTCTGGTATACTTTCTGGTTTAAAATCTACTTCCCCTGCCATAAGAAAGCGATCAACCTGCGGACCCCGAGAAACCAACATTTGCTCAATTGCAGATGCAGCTACATTAGGTAGAGAGTGGAATTGCAAAAGTCCATCACATCTATCCTTATATCCCCCAATTAAAGCAGACTGAGGGGTAGGAGGGAATTGCACCAGGCTTTCTGGGCAGCTGTTTCCTCTCCAAGGACAAGCAGCTTTGTGACCGGAATCCAGCTGCTTGACAAAGGCATCCCCCGCATTTTGAACTTTGCATTGAAATGAAGAGGACAGAACAAGAAAAATTTTAAAAGTAGGAATAGACAAGCTTATGCAGATATCATTGAATTCTTAACACAATTTCTGATCAAATAAAAAAAATAGCATATTCTAAAAATGAAGATTAGCATCATTATACTTTTATAAGAAACGAGAAATTATTAACAGCTGAAAAGTGAAGTATAGAGCAAGATGTTCAAGAAGTCCAGTAGGAAAATCCAACTAAAAGCACTGGCAGGACCACACTAAACCAAACAAACACTTACCCCAAAACAGAAAACAAATCCAGTTGGATCAAACCAAAGGGTCCTTCAGATGCTTAGACAAGGTCACAAGGAAGCCTAACTATAAGCAAGGAATTTAACTGCACCCACAGTTTGGACTACAGCTACTCATTTAGATGTTAATTTTGCAAGTGAAATATATATGGATGTAGAAGACTGAAAAACAACTTTCAACCAAAATAATATAATGCCTTAATAACATAAGAAGTCATCCTAAGCTGACTGTAGCAATTTTTCGTACATTTTTTTAGTATAATGGACATGCCAAAAGCAACACCACAGCGTTTTATGTGTAAAATCAGAAATAATAAGTCTACCATGCACATGATATGTAGCAGAAAAGAATCAGAAGCTGTCCAGAAAGTCTTCTCAGAAATATTTAGGGAGTTGCGATGTAATCCGCAATATAAAATGGAGGCTAAATAGGTTTATACAAATTATAAACATGTATTTTAAAAGACATTGTTTTAAATTTAAATTACTAGAAATCCCCTAAGACAGCTATAGCCAACCTTCGTCAGGAGTCCAAGATGGCAACAAAGCAAAACCAAGGGATGCACCGCATGATTCACATGCAATTTTATCCACATCAACATTCACCCAACCTCTCCGAGCACATGCCAATGAACTGATGACCTGAAAGAAATGAGCAAAAGTTAGATGCTTTGAAATTGTCCTGAGCCTGTTGCAGGCACGAAATGAAAGATTTCTGGAGGGAAATGTATGTTCGATTGCTTACAGTTGAACGTTGAGTTGTCCAAGAATACCATATTTTCACTTCAAGGGATATATTGTATATAACATTTAATATGAGAATCAAAATGTACCAACAAATTTAGCAGAAATTTACTAAATGATGAGTCAACAAAAAGGTATTTCATTTATGTAACATAATATTAATAATATATTAAATGTACATACAGCATAACTATAGATGCATGTATCTATATATATGTGTGTGTGTGTGTGTGTGTGTGTGTGTGTGTGTGTGTGTGTGTGTGTGTTCTAAATGACTTAAAATAAAATGGAAGTATTAACAACTCAATTAAGTACAGAAAGACTTGAGTGTATGGATATAGCAGCAAAAGTTCAAACCTTGGGCTTTGAAAACCAATTTGAAGGTTTAAAAGTAGCCAAGCGGCGCAGTAAGTCGCCTCTTTCCCAAGGTCTACACGACAGCCTTGATGATCCAAAAACAGAACTATCCCCACCCCCACCACCGCCAGCACTGGTGCTCAAAGAAGTCACCGGTGGTTGCGAACCAACACAAGATATAGATGCTCCTTTGGAGCCTTGTCCATGAATAGACCCGTCTACACTGCCCACATTTGCCGGAACAGTCGGCGACGATGCCCCAGCCGAACTAACATACACAAAGCAAACATATTTAACCACAATTGAACAATAATACACAGAACAAATTCTAATCAACCAAAGATCAATTCTTTCACCAAAAAATGAACAACACGTTTGATTAAATTAAGCTGAAAATCACGCAACACTAGGAAATGAAGCTCAAATCTCCACCATCCAAGCAACCATACAGAGGCACAAATCGACCAATTCGTCACAGATATGACCAAAATCCTAACACTAACTGCACCAATTGATGCAAATTGGAACACTACACTCGCAGCTCGAACCAAACAGCAAGCAAATGCAAAACCCTAATTGGATCAGCAGGAGAAATTGGAGGAAAACGAAGACGGAGATTTAGAGAGAGAGAGAGAGAGAGAGAGAGAGAGAGAGAGGATAGGGTACCTGGCAGCAGGGGCAGGATCAATGTTCCCTCCGGAGCTGATGACCTCCTCTCTCATTGCTCCTGTTGATTTTTCGAAAGCAGAGGATACGAGAGAGTGTGCGTACTGGCAGCCCCTTTTTTATACCAAGTACCGAATGAGTGTGGTGCGGCGCGTAAGCGTTACTCTCACTTCCTTTTCCGCTTTGGTGAAAAGGCTTATTAGTCCCCAGTGAAAGGTACTCGAAAGAAACTTTCGTGATTAAAAAAAAAAAAAAAAAGTTAGGATTTAAGTTCATGTGGTAAAATTTGTTAGGATTTAATTTTAAACTTGAAAATTATATCAATTCTCAATTAATTTTTAGCATGTAAACCACATATATGAGGCTAAAACGAAACTCTTTATTAATTGTTAGTACGTGATGCTTACATGTGAGGCTAACTTTATTCTTTTAGGCCTCAGGTGCTTACAATTAAAAGTTGACAAATTTTCAACTTTTACTCTAAATTCTAACAAACTGCACCACATGAGCTTAAATCTCTTTTTTGTTTTCACTATAACTATCCTATTTTTACGAGGATTATTATTCTAATTAGGCCGGGAGAAAATGGAGTTGTAGCAACATTTTTACGCTTATCTTTTTATTTTATTTATTTTTTCAGTTTTATTCACGCATATTTTATTAAAATTAATTACTGTTTAATTAATAACCTAAAATTTAAGTTATGAAAGGGAATGAGAATTATAATATAATTACGAGTACTAGTAAAAGAGTGAAGATTCTTACCGGATTCTCTTTGTAAGGATTCCGAATATCCTTAAATTATATTTTATCGTATATCGTGATGTCAGAAATTATTATATTTTTTATTTAAAATTAAATATAAATAATAACGGACAAAAATATACGATAAATAGATGTAATTGAAAAATCTCTCATCCTCATAAAGAAAACTCGACGAGAATCCTCTCTCCTAGCAAAATACACGTTGTACGAAAAAGTGACAAAATTTAAATAAGAAAGTTTAGTTTGAAGATTGGTAGCATTGAATCACGGCTTTGCAGTTGGGTGGACCCATCCACCGCCGCCCTCAACGCTGGATCCGGCCCCAATTTGACTAGACAACGTGACTAAACCAGCCTAGTGTTTTTTTATTGGCTAGACCAGCCTAGTAGGCCTTAAATTTTATCTTATTAATCTTTTATAATACGATTTACTTTAAGCGAGTGATTTATATTAGAGAATGACTTACATGATCTAGCTACATTGTTACGTAGTATTTTGTGTTAATGATATAAAAACGTGTGTACGTGTTTATGTGCTACTATTGTTTCGTTAGCATGCAACGACACATGACAGTGTATTCATGCTATATAAATTCTTATTTTAGTGTGATATTTCCTTTTATTTATAAATGAGATAGGTTCAATCCTCATACAGAGTAGCTTGAGAACTCGTTTAGGGAATTGGATCCGCACCAGATCTTAGTGTTTGGAGCCTAAGAGCAACTCCAGCCTTCTACTTTGCTCGGGGGAGGGCTGCAGGAAGGGGTCCGAGGGCCGGTTGATTCTTCTCCAGCCATGGAGGGCCCGAGTGAGGGTGGGAGCCCGAGCACAAGGGGGGTGGAGAGTTGACAGGCCTGCAGCCCGAGGGCCAAGGCATTTTTTTATTGTTTTTTGTGTCAGCCCAAGGCCCTACAGCCCCATTTCCCTGTTTTTTTTTTATTTTATATTATTTAAACAAACAAACAAAAACTACTATTTTATTACCTATTGCCAGAGAGGAGGGCTCCAAGGGTGGAGATGCAAAAGGTAATTACTGTTTATTAATTGTAGTTACTATTCATTCAAGGCAGTTACTGTTCAATAGGGTGGATTCAATAGTGGATTGCCCGGGGGAAGGGCTCCAAGGGTGGAGTTGCTCTAAGGATCAACTTATCTAGGCCATACAAATTGAATCCAAATGTTTCCATTAACTCATTTCGTTGGCCTAGCACACACTAACCAACAGTTATGCTTTCTTTTACACACCAATCAGTGCCCCAGATGAATTGATCCCTAGGCTCTAGACACTAAGGTCCGGATAGGATCTAATTCCCTCGTTTAGAAGTATTTTCAATAGTTGAAAACGCTTTTGGTAAAAATATTTTGAAACCAATTTTTTGTAAAAGTGCAAGTAAATCCTAGAAAGAAAAAAAAAACACTCGAAATGCTTCCTGCAAGAAGCACAAAAAACACTTCAAGTATTTTTCAGTCCCCGAAACATTTTCTCTAAAATTGATTCCACTCATTTAAACGTACTTCCAAACAAGTTATGATTTGGATTTACGACCCACTTCTTCATCGGTTTTACAAGACTTCTTGAGGTAAAACACCCGGAATTTACCTTTTGCCTGGGAAAAGGATCCTTGCTAGATCCTTTTTTCTAGAGATCCTAAGAATCACGTGATTATGATCATTTATCGTACATTATGCAGTCAGTTTTCGTTAGGTACTATTTATATTTAATTTCAAATTTTAAAATGATTTTTAACCGTACAATATACGATAAACGACCACGATCACAGTATCCCAGTATCCCTAGGTCGGATCCTTTTCCTTTTGCCTGTACCCTCCAAGGAGGATACACTTTCCAAAAAGTACATACAATTTGCATATGTTTTCATATTATCCAACTTTAAAATGTTTTTCAATTGTAGAGAGTCTAGCTTGACGTTGAATCTTCTCTCGCAAAAGATACAACCCCCAACAAGTGTACTGCATTCATTTGACTTCTGAATGACACGGTCACTCAAAGGAGATAACCCCAAGTACTAGTTATACATAATACTGTATATACTCCCATAATACTGTTTATACTCGATAGACAACGGACATCCGATGATGTTCACCGAAAAACTCGAAAAAAAAAAGAAACAGCATTCAACAAAGAAACCCCATCAACATGTTCGGCAGAGGAAGTCAATCACCTAGATGGCACAGTACCTGCACCTGCGGCTGCGGCTGCACCTGCGGGAGAAAGAAGTGTACGAGGGTTTTGCTCTGTGATGGATCCTAGAATTTAGACAGATTAGGAGGTGATACTTACCATCATCTGCTTCCTTCCGTGATTCATCTGCTGATTTCCACACTATATCCTTCAGCCCCGTCGACAGGTTCTTGTAGAACTGTAAATACAAGACAATCGACTAAATATACGCAGAAGACAAAATTTCACATCACAGAACAAATAATGGTGCAAGATACGTGCAGTTTCAAATGTTGTGTGAATGCCCAAGCTGCAGCTAGATGTGCAGTAACTCTAATGCTGTAGGGGATTAACGTCCAATCCTGTAGGGACACTCTTCCAAGGTGTAGTTCTCCATAATTGCTCTTAATTAGATGAATATACTTATTAGATCAATGAGTGCGTCAACGTTGCAATACATACATTGTGAAATTCCAGAGTGTCTCCTCCAGACTTGCGGACCTCAACCATGTAGAGAGAGGGGGCCACCTCAAAAATCTGGAAAAGAAAGTCATTTTGTAACCCATTTGTTAAAAGGCACATCAACCGAATTGAACAGTAAAGGGAAATTTTGAAAAAGAAGTGAAACGCCTGAACAAAAAATGAAAATGAAAGAGGCAAACCTCTGTTGCAACAGATAAATGGCCTTTACGTCCTGTTTTTCACCTTGCAGCTTCAACTGAGATATAAAATATGACATGGAGATATGTCACATAAACGGTGCAATTTTCCTCATCTTTAAAGAATTTTACCAGTTACGATCCCACTTTCCCCAGTAACAGAGAGAGAAAATCAAAATGCAAAGAGAATAGCCATTGTACCTTGAAGTTATTTTTCTTTACGCCAAAACCCAAAGGCCCTGCAGCTTCCTCAATTTTAGAAATGATCTCATTAGCCGGGCGTTTGGATGTGAACCTTGTTTCTTGTTTAACAAGATCCTGGTTTGTTAAAGAAATGTCAGCTGTTTCCTTAGATTTTATGTTTATGAATGAACTAAATAAACAGAACTAGAGAGGAAAGGTCAAAACTTGCCAATTAAGCAAACAGAAAACCAACAATGAGCGATAAATAACAAATTTACGTTTGTTTTTTCAAATTTAACCGTACCATTTGTTTCTCAAAAAGACTATTGAGATTCAGGCCCTGGGATGTAGAGATAAGCTCAAAGGCATTCATTGTGACAGGTGCCACATTCCGCTCTTCTCGCCTCTCCACTACAAGGTTCTTAGAATCCTGTGCTTGGGAAGAATCGAGTAGAAAGTCAAGCCCTGGCATCATGAACCAAAATAAATCATAATACATAATGACTCGCTCTTACCTCTGATTCATTGAATATAGAATCCACATCGTCAAGACTGACATCAACTTGTTCAAAACTAGGTGGCTTATACCCTTTCTTAAACCACTCATTCTCAATGACCTCAGCAATTGTAATTCTCTGTTGCATGAAATTAGCTTGTACAGTAAATGCAAGATATAAATAATAACGTAAAGAAACTGAAACGCCCGAAAAACAGACAAATCTATTGTATAAAGTTAAAAAGGACAGGCGACAGGGACCTACTGTCAAGGGGTTAGGATCCAAGATTCTCTTGATTAGCTTCTTTGCACTCGAGGAGAACCATGGGGGGCATGTGAAGTCAGCCTTGAATATCTGGTGACCACACAAAAACGATAGATGTAATCGTGTAAGACAAAGATAACAGAGCCATATATTGACCAATTTTATGGCTGAGCTGTCTGTTTTTCCTCCATCGCCATGCGTTGGTCTACGAGTGATGAGAAAAAGAGAGAGAATCACCTTTTTGTATAATGCCATGAGGTTGGAATCTTCAAAAGGCAAATAGCCAGCCATTAAGACAAAAAGAATCACACCACAAGACCATAAATCCGCTTTCGCACCATCATACCCTTTGTTGTTGATCACCTAGAGAAAAAAAAATGTCATTAAGAGGAACAGGGTAACAAAATGGGAAACTAGCTAGTCTGAGCAAACGCTAATATACCTCAGGGGCAACGTAATTTGGTGTCCCACATGTCGTGTGAAGCAATCCATCTTCCTGAATGAAAGGAATAAGATAATCACTCACACAATCTGTAAGAAATGAACGTGTGAAACTGGCTGCCTAATTATTCACCATGGTATGCTTATGACTAAAAGTATGAGATAGGTATTGCTAAAAGAAGCCATCCAATCCTGACTATCAAATTTGAACGGATACATGAAAGCATAGCACTCACTCGAACTTGCTGAGGTAGTGCACTCAGTCCAAAATCTGAAACTTTAAGAGTCCCGCTAACATCCAGCAGCAAATTCTCTGGCTGCAGTTGACAACCACAAAATCAATTTAGTGGTACACTATAAAATATATACATCACACAGGGCAACTATAGATCCAAACTTCCTGCAAACAATAGATCTGAACTTATTACGCCAAAAAAAATTATCATATATACATATGTAGATGTTAGGTCTCTATGAAAGGGGGCAACGATAATTCACACCTTTAGGTCTCTATGAAAAACACCTCTGCTGTGACAGTAATCAACAGCATTTATAAGCTGCTGAAAATACTTTCTTGCTTCATCTTCTTTCAATCTTCCTTTACTTGCCTGACAATACAAATAGCGCAAGGATTCTGATTATATATATCATCAGAAGTAAATAGAAAGTCCAGCAATTCAATTGAATATGCACTATCTTACAATTTTGTCAAATAGTTCTCCACCAGTCACAAATTCCAAAACAATGTATATTTTCGTCTTGCTAGCCATCACCTACAGCATAAATACATCCAAAAGTCATTTGTAAGTACTAAATAAATCACGGTTTTAAAAATCCGCCCACACTTAACAATATTGACAGTGGACATTGTACTGTTGTCATGACTTATGCCACAAACCAAAAAGAAAACAAGAAATAGAAAGAAATCCAACTGCAATGACCACCACATCATTGTAAATGTTTGTTCTGATAATGATTAAACGCATGTATAAGTCTATGCCAAAGATGTAATTCATCTTAGCTTATACATATAAACCATTAGGAATCCAAAAGCAATGTAAGATCAGATTTGACTACCTCATACATGCGGATGACATTCGGATGTCTAATTAGTTTCATTGTTGATATTTCTCGTTTGATCTGCAAAAGGAAAGGATATGACTGCAATTCATCAGAAATCAGAATTAGGATTGTACCCTCAAAGAAAAATGATTGTGTAAATTGTTCGATTTCTAATTTCAATTAGATTTGTGCGTATAGAATCTAGATGCTGCAGCTGAAGAAATCAGCAAGGCAAGGTGAGGGTGCCGAGCAAATCCATCAAGTCAGACCATGTGATCGGTTTGTTTTTCGTGGTTGAAGTTAATCTGAACTCAACCTTCAATCATTGGAGATGGTACATAACATCTACTAACAGGTATGCCAATAGCAAATTATGTCGATTCAATTCTGATGTTCGTCAAGTTTAGTTCAATTCTGATGATATCCTATGCAAATTGTCGAACTTAAACTCAAATATGTTTACAAAAAACCATAATCTCCCTAATCTCGTTTTGCTTGCTTAACTGATGATATCGGAAAACAAAACAAAAACCCCTCTAAATTTCTTCGGAGTCAAGAAAGTCAACAAATTTCTCCAAATTCAAAAAGTCAATAAAGCAGTAGCAATCAAACAGTAAAATGTTCAGGTCATCAAACGACAAACCCTATCCAGCACGCCAATCTTTCAAAGTTGACTTTTTTTTCCCTCTATATGTAAACAATAAAATATTTTTCATTTTCCGTGATTCCTTCATCACTTTCTCAGCAACCAAACAGCGGGTCATCCAATATTCCCAGAAAATAATCCAACTAACATGCAACGAAACGCTAAATTAAATAAAACTGATCAAATTAACAAAATTTGAAAAAATAAATAAAAAAATCAAACCTGGCCGATCATCTTGTGCTTGAGGACCTTCTCCTTGTCGAGAATTTTGATCGCAAAGTTCTCATCTGTCTCGACGTTGCGCGCGAACTTGACCTTGGCGAAATTCCCCTCCCCGAGAGTCCGACCCAGCTCGTACCGCCCGACCCGCGTCCTGCTTCCGGTGTTCGACCTCGACGCCATCTCCTCCAACCCCTCTCACTCCCCTCGCTTCTCTCTCTAAAATCTTCCAAATTTCTCTCTCAAAATTCCAGTCCGCACTCCCTCTTCCAACTACCTCTTCTTCTTGCAAGGCTGCCAAACCTGAGACTTCGTCACGCTCATCCTTCCTGAATTTTAATCCGAAAAAAAAAACCCGAAATCCTTAATCCGCAGAGACAAACGAATCCGAGACGCGATTCGGCGGTTCAAATCGGGAAAGAAGAAGGAGACTCGGAGGCAAAAGAGAAAGAAAAGGTTGAAGAATCGTTGACCGTCTGATCCGACAAGAAACCCATCAATTCGGATTTCCAATCATACAAAAATCGAACGGATTGCGATGCATGCAGAGAATCTGAAAGCTTTAGTTTTGGGACGAAAGGGATCGGAGATCTCCAGGAGATTGAATCAGGGCCGTGGACGGTGGATCTGATGATTGATTCTTTTTTTTGGAGCTTTTGGTTTTGTGCTTTTTTGGGTGAAAAATTGGAAATAAATGGCACCGCGGGGTTTTTTGTAATTAACCAAAAAGCGAATATTCTGGGGCGATGATTGGGGGACACGTCACGCTGAGGGACTGTGGCTTTGCCTACTTCGTTTCTATACGAGGAAGGTTGCATCTGTGGATATTTTGAAATTACTTTTTCAACCTTGGAAGTTGGGATCGGGTGTTTTGCAGGCCACCTCTTCGCGGTTTTTTAATAGAGCGATAATGTTAAGCCTAATATTCCATACATAAAAATTTTAAATTAAATAATGTGCGACGATCCGTCTTTAATTTTTTATGTAATTTCTCTTCGAGTAGGTGAATTGATATTTATGTTCTTGTTGGCAAAGTGATGTGGATGTGATTATACAGTTTTAAATTATTTTTCTTGCTATCGTAATTAAATAATACTCCTTGTAATGAGCTCAAGTTAGACCCAAATTAGATTTATAACGAAAAAGTTACGCTCATTTGGGATCGGGTGTTTTGCAAGCCACCTCTTCGCGGATCCGTTCTGATGTCTTTTTCTAATAGGGCGATAACGTCAAGCCTAATATTAGGTACATCAAAATTTTAAATTAAATAATATGTCATGAAATGAAAATAAATATATTAATTAATATTTAACAATATATTAAAAGATGAAGGCGTAGACAAGATTTTTCATGGATAGTCCCGTCTAGGCATGAGATGTGAGAGGCGTGAGACGTGTGACATGAGGCGAAACCTCATTGGACCTAAATTTTTAATATATTATTTTATATATTATATATAATTATATAGAAAATTATACTTTGTAAAATTTTAAATGGTAATATCATCCAAATCCATTATAAAATTAACCAAGCATTACAATTAATCAATGGAACTATATATTATGTTATTACAATGCACGGCAATATTAATTATAATACACAAGTGAACATAGCACATAAATATTAATCACACATTGAGCATACACATATATTATATTAAAAAAAAATTATTAATCAATAATCACCATGAGCACACACATATATTATATTATATATAATATAGGATAAAAAAACACAATGAGCACACATATAATGATGCACTTAGACAACATACATATCAATTATATAAAAAAATAAAAATCAGAAACCCTAGTTGTAAAAATTCGGGATTTGTGGAAGTGCTAGCGGCGACGCAGTCTCTGGGTGTTACGGTGCTATCTCTTGGGGGGGGTGGCGGTGGTGCTGTCGAAGGCTTGCGACGAGTGTTGCAGAAGGTTGTCAAAGATTAGTGTCGCAGTTGTGACCAAAGCGCGCGGGAGAAAAAGCTCTTGAAATCAGGAAAAAAAGGCAAAGAGACCTATAATGCAAGGAAAAGCTATGAGGCAGTTAAAATCCTACCCAAAACTACGTCGTTTTGGGTTTGGGAGTTTTTTTTTATTTTTTAACCAAACAGAGACGCCTCGAGGCATGCCTCAGAGGCTCCGACGACACCTTCCGCCCACTCCCTCAAAACAGAGGTGCCAACCCTCACACCCAGCCTCAGAGGCCGCCTAGGCGCGCCCTGAGGCGAGCCTTTTAAAACACTGATATTTAAGTAATAATTCAATTATCTACAACTATATTATTTGGTTGGTGTGGAAGCCAGACTTGTGGCCAGGGGGAGGCTTAAATGCCTCTGCGAGTCTTCCCGGGCCTTGGAAGGGATGAATAATCATGACTTACCACCAGTTGTCATTTTTTTATAAAATAAAAAATAATTAAAAAAAAACTATATTATTTGGTTTACAAAATTTAATTTATAATTTTGGCCTCCCTAACATAATGTTAAATAAGCAATGTGTTATTTTGTAGTACAAGGAGAAAAATTGGTGAAAATAAAAAAATGGGTGGGTGTTGAATCCACAATGGATGCCAATTCAATAAAAAGTCGTCCGTGATAATAAAAAAATACAGAAAAAAAAAATATTTTTCAAAAATATTATGTTTGACACTAAAATTAAAAAGTGATTATGCATACACTGTGTGTGAAAATTTTTAAAATTTTATAGGAGCAATAAGGAGGTAAATGTGGGTTAATTTAGTTTTTATTGAATTTTTTTTTTCATTTTTGAGGGAGAAGAGATAAAGAAAACGTTGAATTTTATAGAGAGATGATTTGAAAACAATAAAATTCTTTTTATATGAAATTATTTTAATGTCTATGATTTTTTTCATTTTGATTTTTTATTGAATTGTGAATAGAATATTAAATTGTCTTTTTACCCTCTATTAATTAACTTAGAGAATTTTATTAATGGATGGGATAGACTTTTTTGGATATGGCATTAAAAAAGGAGAATCAATGATTCAATGAATATGGCGGCTTTAATATTTCAATCTCATTATGTAATATTAGACTAGATTTAAGGTTAAAAAATTGAGAAGTGTTATTAGCACTCAAAAAAATCTCATTTTACTATCCTCATAAGTGTATTTTTTTTTTCCAAATATAGAAAGTTTGGAATGTATAATAAAAATTTTGGAGTGCCAATAACAATTCCCAAAAAAATATGCATTTCTTAATCACCATATGATTAAGATAAACATTCAAACGTTTCATAACCTTTGTTAATAAACTATTTGGAGAAATCATCTTTCCATTGTCTTTTCTCTCTGTACTTCTCAAACATTTTTTTTTGTAAACTATTATTGGTATATAAAAAATCTAATAGTGCATTTTTTTAATTGGAGTGGTACTAATAATTCCTTCTTTTTTTTATGCTGTCCAACATTCGGTAAGTGTTCTTATAATTTTAAAGTAGTGTATATGCGCGTGTTCTTTCGTAGCTAATTTTGTTTTGGTTTTTTTATTTTTTTTTATTTTGAGAGGAGTAGCTTAATTCTATTCTAAGTTAGTTTGCTACTCATCTCAAAATTATAAGAACAGTCATTATAAAAATACTTCCAAACCAGTCAATAGACATTGTGTTATGTTGGCTATGATTAATCGTGGTGTGGGGCCGTGTGAGCAAACGAACTTGAAACGTGGTTTGTCTTTATTTCTTTTTATATTTATTTAATATATGTGCAAATGAAAGTTTTGATGCCATCAACATTTCTCTTTATTTATTTCATGTTAAAGCGAGTCAAAACTCAATTGGTTCTGCCATTCACTTTCATCTTGTCATTAAGACACCGTTTGGTACGCAGACGAGACGGGACGAGACGGAACAGGACGGAACGGATTATGTAAATATTGAAAAAGATAAGGAGAAATTTTGTCATAAAATATTATAAATTTGTGTTCCACTGATGTGGAACGGGTTGTTACAGGAGGAATAGGTGGAACGAAAAATCAGCCAAATTTCGTCCCATGGGACAACCCGTTCCACAGTTTTTAGGCGCACCAAACGTGGGACGGAACGGCTCGTCCCGTCCCACGTACCAAATGGTACCTAAAAGTTCATCATCTACTTAAGCAAGGACTGCACTGCAAAATCGAAATTACAAACTTTTCCAAATTTAAAACCTAACATTGAAACATATGGGACTAGAATCAAACCAAAGGTCGATTTTAAAATTCTACTATATTCAAGATCAACACATTTTTTTTATGGTAAAAGACTGTTTACTACCCTCATGTTTCGTGATTTTCAACATTTAGTACATCAAGTTTTTTTCGTCCCAGAGTCATACCTAAAGTGTTAATTTTGGGACAGTCTCATACATCCGTTAGTCAAACTGTTAATTATCATGTTAACTGTGATGTGGCGTCCATGTGGACAATGACTGGGCGCCACGTGTCATCCACATGGAAATTTAAATAAATAAATAAATATAATAAAAAATTTAAAAAAAAACCTTCATCTTCCCCAAATCCCACCCGTGCCCCACCCTCCCATCAACCACCTCTTCTTCTTCTTTCTCCTCCTCCTTCTTCTTCTTCTTCATCATTCTTCCTCCTCCTTCTTCCTCTTCTTATTATGTCTGGGTTGCAGATTCCGTTATTTATTTATTTTTTTCTTTCCCTTCTTCTTCTTCTTATTCTTCCTCCTTATTCTTCTTCTTCTTCTGGGTTGCAGATTCCGTTTTTTTTTTCCCTTCTTCTTCTTCTTCCTCCTTCCTCCTTCTTCTTCTTCTGGGTTGCAGATTCGGTTTTTTTTTTCTTTTCCTTCTTCTTCTTCTTCCTCATCTGGGTTGCAGATTCCCTTTTTTTTTCTTTTTCTTTTTTTACCTTCCTCTTGTTCTTCTTCTTCCTCCCCCTTCTTCTTCTTCTTCTTCTTCCTCATTCTGGGTTTCAGATTCTTTTTTTCCTTTTCTTCTTCTTCTTCGGTTTTTTTTTTGTTCTTCCTCCGTCTTCTTCTTCTTCTTCTGGGTTGGGGGTGGAGGGGGGGAGAAGGGATGATTTTTTTTTTAATTAATTAATTATTTTAATATTTTTAATGACACATGGCGCCCAATCATTGTCCACATGGGCACCACGTCATCACTTAACGGGAGAATTAAAGTTTGACTAATGAATGTAAGAGACTGTCCCAAAATTA